GTTTGGCGTGAGACACCGTGCCGGGGCCTAAAATACCTATTCTTTTTTTTTTTTTTTTTGAGACAGAGTCTCGCTCTGCCGCCCGGGCTGGATGCAGTGGCCGGATGCTCACTGGCAGCCTCGCCTCCCGGGTTCACGCCATTTGCTCCTGCCTCAGCCTCCGAGTGCTGGGTACTACAGGGCCGCCCCCTCACCGACTAGTTTTTTGTATTTTTCTTTTTTCTATGTAGAGACGGGGTTTCACCGTTGTCAGCCAGGATGGTCTCGCATCTCCCTGACCCTCGGATCGCCCGTCTCGGCCTCCAAAGTGCTGGATTACAGGCTTGAGCCAGCCGCGCCGCGGCCCAAAATACGTATATTTATTAAGAACTACCTTCGGGGGAGGAGCATGGACTTACAGTGCAGAGCTTCTACTTTTTTTCCTCTTGAACTGTTCAAATTCTGATTATTTTTGTAACCAGAAACAAAAGCTCTTTTCATTTTGAAAAAGAAGACTCTTCAAAATGATACATCCTCCTCATGTGGCATCAGAAAACACACTCACTGGGCATTGTTTCCACTGCTTTCCTCATCAATGATCCCAGGCACAGCCTTTCCTGCAGCTCGGCTAATTTCCCTTGAAGAAGAAAAATTAAAATCTAGTAAACAAAAAAAATTTGAGAATTTCACACTGTATTCATTAGCACAGTAAATATGAGGCTAAGGTGGGAGGATTGCTTAAGCCTGGGAGGTCAAGGCTGCAGTGAACTGTGTTCCCACCACTGCATTCCAGCCTGAGCAACAGAGCAAGACTCTGTCTCAAAAAATACATACATATATATATAAAAATAAAAAATAAGTTGAATGTGAAGTAAGTTTCAAAAGATGAAGAAAAATAATTTGATGAATGAGTAGTAATATAGTAAAATAAATTATAATAACATAAAAAAAGAAAGAAGAAGGGGCAGTGAAAAGAATGTGTGAGAAGAGATGAGGGAAGATTTATGTAGAAGAAATGAGAGTTATGTGTAAGGATATTTCTGCTTTATTTTTTTTTTGAGACGGAGTCTCGCTCTGTCACCCAGGCCAGAGTACAATGTCACAATCTCAGCTCAATACAACCTCTGCTTCCCAGGCTCAAGCGATTCTCCTGCCTCAGCCTCCCGAGTAGCTGGGATTACAGGCGCCTGCCACCATGCCTGGCTAATTTTTTTGTATTTTTAGATGGGGAGATGGGGTTTCATGTTGGCCAGGCCGGTTGTGAACTCCTGATCTCAAACGATCCGTCAGCCTTGGCTTCCCAAAGTGCTGGGATTACAGGCGTGAGCAGCGACACCTGGCCAAGATATTTCTGCTTTCAACATGCTTACCTGTTCAAGACTCCACTGGAAACTAGAGCTTCTTTAGGATGGAAATATTTGTGATATACATTTCTAACCACAGCATCTATGAGGGAAAAACAGAAGGAGGTATATTTTAGGTTAGAAATAAGTTTGATATTATAGACTCATACCAATTTTGACCTGAAAGGCACCCTGGAACTTGGTTCCAATCCATCTCACTTTATAAATGGAAGCAGCCCAAACCTACGAGGCTCAGACTGCTGATGAGAATGGAACATTAAAACATGCATACACAGCCCAGGGCTTTTTCCATTATGCCACTGGACCTAGAGGACTATGATATAAAATAATAGACAGAAAATTACTGCCTCTACTGAAAATAATAATACTAATTACCATTATTAACCATGATTCCATATTCTTCCAGTAAAAAGTTAATATTGGTGTCAAATCTGGATTCTCCACCTTCTCCTAGCATCACAAGGACATCTCCACCGCTGTCAAGATATTTCTTCAGGATTTCAAACTACACAAAGGAAAAAAGCAATCTATGAATATACTCAAAAGATTTTTGCCCGAAATACCATAAGATCTTAACTAGATGAAAAATAAATACTTCAAATCTATAAGGCATTTACATATAAATGTATATGAGATAAAAAGTACTCTCTATGTAGGATCTCCAAGCTTGTCTCTGAGCATAAAGCTCCAAAATACTCAAAGTAAACTTACAGTTTCAAAGCTATCAGACAGCAAGTCAAAAGTGAAAAACTTAACTAAAGGAAGCGCTCAGTTCTCCATTCAGAGGCACCCCTGGTCTCCACCTACTAACCAAAAATGTCTCTTGAGATTGCCACATTCCCTCAGGAGAAGAAGAAATAGAATCACCCCTGGTTAAGAACCACTAATTTAGACAATGCCTTCTCTTGATGGCCCACAGAGGATATCAGGATGAACACATTTCATACCACACCTGGGAGGAATTCTGTTCAAGGTCATTGACCAACTAAACCATAGACAGAAATGCATGTTTTCTGTTTATCTCCTGGAAGCTCTCTCTTGTTTTCACAAAGCTGGGGATGGGAGAAAAATCTAGGGTTGATCTTGCTGGTCTAGCCTGAGAAAATCTGGGGTGGGTGGTCCAGACAAACAGTTTCTTAACTCTCTTCATCAAGCGCTCCAGCAGAAAAAAATCTGAACATGTATATAAATACATCCAATATGTATGTATCTCTATACAAAATATGCACTTCATAATTTAAAACAACTCTCAAAAAGAAAATGTTTTAAGGGTAATGAAAATATGAATAATAAACGTAATTTCCTTCTGGCACCCCATTGATTGATCACATGCATCCTACTTTGGAAACTACTGCCCAGACTAGCTTTGCCACAGCAAGGCCCTCTTGTTCTTGCATGCTCCCTGAATTTTCCTCTCCCCCTGACTTCGCCACACTGCATAAAACAAATGAATCTGGCCGGGCACAGTGGCTCATGCCTGTAATCCCAACACTTTGGGAGGCTGAGGCGGGCGGATCACGAGGTCAGGAGATCGAGACCATGGTGAAACCCCGACTCTATTAAAAATACAAATAAAAAAAATTAGCCGGGCGTGGTGGCGGGTGCCTGTCATCCCAGCTACTCGGGAGGCTGAGGCAGGAGAATGGCGTGAACCTGGGAGGCAGAGCTTGCAGTGAGCCAAGATTGCGCCACTGCACTCCAGCCTGGGCAACCGAGTGAGACTCTGTCTCAAAAACAAAAACAAAAACAAAACAAATGAATCTTTGGAAGCCAAGTAGGCAGATCACCTGAGGTTAGGAGTTCAAGATCGGCTTGGCCAACATGGTGAAACCCCACCTCTACTAAAAACACAAAACTTAGCCAGGCATGGTGGTATGCACTTGTAGTCCCAGCTACTCAGGAGGCTGAGAGAGGGGAATTGCTTAAACCCAGGTGGTGAAGGTTGCAGTGAGCTGAGATCGCACCACTGCATTCCAGCCTGGGCAAAAGAGCAAGATTCCGTCTCAAAAATGAAACACAACAAAAAACAAAACAAAATAAAAAAAATGAATTATTTCAAAATCAAAATTAAGGTGAGGCACAGTGGCTCACGCCTGTAATCCCAACACTTTGGGAGGCTGAGGTGGGTGGATCACTTGAGGTCAGGAGCTCGAGACCAGCCTGGCCAACATGGTGAAACCCCGTGTCTACCAAAAATACAAAAAATAGCCAGGTGTGTTGGCAGACGCCTGTAATTCCAGCTACTCAGGAGGCTGAGGCAGGAGAATCAGTTGAACCTGGGAGGCGGAGGTTGCAATGAGCCGAGAATGCACCAATGCACTCCAATCTGGCAACAGAGCAAAACTCTTGTCTAAAAAAAAAAAATCAGCTCAAAGTCCATTTCCTCTGGGCCCAATAATCCAGTGCCTCTTTTCTGTGCTTCTGTAGAAATGTGGAACTTAGAACATTGATCATTGTCAGTAGATGGTCCATTTGTTTCATTTCCCCTAGACTATCAGTTCCTAGAATGGAGAGATCATGTGCTATTTGACTTTGATCCCTAGCGTTAGTCCTAGAACCTGGCACATAACTAGGTACATAACAGATCCTTAGTAAATATTTTTTGGAACAACAACAGAAAAACAAAACAAATGGGTTATAACTGCATGGATCCTGGACCCTGAACAACAGACTGAATCTCTCCCTAAATTCATCTTCCTTTTTCTTCCTTCTGATTTCCTCTCAAACTCCTCTTCCCAGATAGCCGTAAATATATGCTATGTTCTATGACTGATAACAGCAAGCCAGATCTAGTTTGCAATATATATTCTCAGAACATAGCTTTCACTTGGGAAATTCTACTGGGACTTGGTATTTATGATTATGCGGTTCTGGGATTTGTCCATGTTGCCTAAATGCAATGAGTATACAGTAAGTATTAGTATCTACTGTGTCCTATTGGCCATCTGGCATTGGAAGAAAAAGACACATGAAGGACGTGGTGTGCAATAACACAGATGGGCAAAAGTTGAAGGAGCTTCCACGAATTAATTATGACCCAGTTTCCAGCTCTGCATGTAAGTGAGACCCTTCTAACAAAAGAACAGATATTTGGTACAAATTGGAGGTTTCTTATTTCTTTATGGCAAAAACAGGAAGAAAGATTAATTTTACAGACTTAAATTTTAGAAATTGGCTTAGAATGCATTCACACTGTTAAGTTTTACAGTGTGGCAGCAAATGTGAGATATTTCATGTAATCAAGACTGGGTGATCCAGGCCAGTGGCTCTCAGTGGAGGCATTTAAACCATCTAGCATGTATTATGGATCACCATAATATTAATATTAATACGGCATAATATTAATGCCATAATGTTAATGTTTAAGGACATTTTAGTGGGTGAAGGGCAGGGAAGTTAAGGTCCTGCAATATTCAGACCAGTCCCACACAGTAAAGAACTGTTTCACATGAGAAGACATGACTATCTTCTCAGATAGTCACATAGGTTTAAAAAAGAAAAAGCAAACAAACAAATGAAGCTTAGCCTAAAATCGAACTCCAATTTATTTATGTTTTTGAGACGAAGTCTCGCTCTGTCACCCATGCTGCAGTGGCTCAATCTCGGCTCACTGCAACTTTCACCTTCTGGGTTCAAGTGATTTTCCTGCCTCAGCCTCCTGAGTAGCTGTGACCACAGGCGCCTGCCACCACACCCGGCTAATTTTTGTATTTTTAGCAGAGACAAGGTTTCACCATGTTGGCCAGGTTGATCTCAAACTCCTGACCTAAGGTGATCCACCTGCCTCGGCCTCCCAAACTCCTGGGATTACAGGAGTAAGCTACTGCGCCCAGCCCAAATTATACGTAAATACTGTACAAAGTATTTTTTGCACAATTTAACATATACTGAATTCCCAGGTACCCAACTACCATGTAAACTGAGAGAAGAATTATACTCTTTTTATTAATAGAACTTTACCAAGAGTTAGTATTTTGGAAAAATCACATCACCAACAGCAACACGGCTCATGATTTGAATTGCCAATACATCACTTCCTCTAGTTTGCATATGTAGGTATCCCATTCATGGGAATTCTATACATTTATTACACATTTATTTCAAAATGTCAAACATAAAGAAGTGTTCTAATGTATGTATGACCAAGCATTAACAAACTGAAATATGTATATTCTCCTAGTATATATATGCCTAAACATTTACAATTTGAAATACATATATTCTTTCATAAATCATCCTCTAATTTATGTACATTAAAGTTAGGAAGCTGTATTGCTTTACTTTTTTAATGGTGGTGGTTTAGATTATCTTTGCATTTCAATTCAGGGTAACAAAGTTGGCACTGGTAATATAGGTGGACGCTGGTCTGTTAGGGTTGGAAAATACTCGTCTCAGCCATGTGGTTACCTGGTCGTAACTGAATACCACCACAAAGCTAGTCTGATGCGTTAATGCAGTTGAGGTGGAAATAAGACTGTTCAGCCTAGTTTCTAGCCTGATACTAGCACCAAATATCAGACATATGATGTCTGTCCTGTCACAGAAGTTTCTGGAAGCCAACATGAAAAAGGCATCACACAGCTCTCCAGGGGTAACAGTCTAGGAGGCCAGCAGCTATGACAAGGAAAGCAGTGATCTCACCAGCATGAGCCTATTGGAAGAACTGTAACACAAGGGCATGCTGGTTCCTAGAAAAAAAGCTAATAGCTTTTCTCCCTTTTCTTCCCACCTCACTCCAACTCCAAAGAGAAGGCATGGTGTCAGGGACTGGTCTCGGAGAGGACGTTTTATTAGGATAAAGTTACATCAAACTTGCCTCTCGAAGGACTTGTGTCTCTTAGATGCGACAGCCTTCCATCCCTGGAAGCCCAAACTAAGGCTTGGCCTGGCACCCATCTCTACTTGGGAAAAGGCCCAGGCACCAAGTTCTGACCCTCTCTCTGGATGCCCCTGTGTTCCCGAGGCTGGTTGGTTCCTGGCAAACATCAGGCCAACTCTCACTGGCTTCGCTAGGTGGATGGGGAGATGGAGCCAAAGCCCAACAAGTAATAGAGTGTTGCTCTGCAGGCCACTGCCCTCTGTGTGTACATTTCCCTCAAGGTCTCAGTGGGTTGGAGTTGCTGGTTACCTCCACAATGCCAATGGTAATTCCTACTCCTGTCAATTAACCTGATCAAACAATCATGTCTCTCTCCATGCCATTCCCAGAGGGGAAGTTCACCTTGCAATCAAATTGAGAAACAAAGGACACTAGAAATGCTCCCCATTGGACCTCTTCCCCATGGCACCACCCAGAGAAACAGCAGGAGACCGTGGCCGGCCTCAATCTAAGGACCACATTGGCCTTGCCCTGCCTCATCCTCCCTACTCCCCATATTCTCTCTGAGCACAAAGGTACTTCCCATTCTCTGTAAAATGGCTCTTTCTATGTTCTGGGATTTTTGTTTTATTGACTGTGAAAAAACACACCTAACTTTTCCTAAATTTACCATCTTAACCATTCTGAAGTATATAGTTCAGCAGTTTTTTTTGTTTTCTCTTTTCAGACAGGGTCTCTGTCGCCCAGGCTGGAGTGCAATGGTGCAATCTCGGCTCAGTGCAACCTCTGCCTCCCATGTTCAAGCGATTCTCCCGCCTCCACCTCCCAAGTAACTGGGAGTATAAGCGTGCGCCACCACGTCAGCTAATTTTTGTATTTTTAGTAGAGGTGGGGTTTCCCCATGTTGGCCAGGCTGGTCTCGAACTCCTAGCCTCAAGTGATCCACCCGCCTTAGCCTACCAAAGTGCTGGGATTAGAGGTGTGAGCCACTGTGCCTGGCCTAGTCCAGCAGTATTAAATATACTCACACAGTTGGGCAACCAATCTGCAGAACTGTTTTCATCTTGCAAAACTGAAACTCTATACCTATTAAACAGCAACTCTCCATTCCCCACTTCCCCCAGGTCCTGGCAATCACCACCCTTCTATTTTCTGTCTCTACAAATTCGACTACTCTACATACCTCATGCTTACATAAGTGAAGTCATACAGTATTTGTCTTTTAGTGTCTGCCTTATTTTCATCTGGCATAATGTCCTCAAGATTTATTCATGTTGTAGCATGTATCAGAATTATCTTCCTATTTAAGACTGAATAATACTCCATTGTATGTATATACCATATCTTATCTATTCATCTGCCGATGGATACTTGGGCTATTTCCACATTTTGGCTATTGTGAATAGTGCTGCTAAGAAAATAGGTGTGCAATTATCTCTTTGAGATCCGGTTTTCCATTCTTTTGGGCATATACCCAGAAGTGGAATTGCTAGATCATATGGCAGGCTTTTTTTCTGTTTTTTTTTTGAAATGGAGTCTCGCTCTGTTGCCCAGGCTGGAGTCCAGTGACCCGATCCCTGCTCACTGCAACTCCGCCTCCCAGGTTCAAGTGATTCTCCTGCCTCAGCCTCCCAAGTAGCTGGGATTACAGGTGCACACCATCACACCTGGCTAATTTTCGTATTTTTAGTAGAGATGGGGTTTCACTATGTTGGCCAGGCTAGTCTCAAACTCCTGACCTCAAGTGATTCACCCGCCTCGGCCTCCCAAAGTGCTGGGATTACAAGCATGGGCCATCACACACAGCCATCATATGGCAATTTTATGATTAAATTTTTGAGGAACTGCCATACTGTTTTTCATGGTGACTGCACCATTTTACATTCCCACCATCAGTGTGGAAGGGTTCCAATAACTTCCCATTCTCACCAATACTTGTCATTTGTATTCTGGGCCTTACATTTATCATTCTTTATCCATTCCATAAACCAGAATAATAAACATCTTTATTTTAAATGGAACTTTCCTTTTTTTTTTTTTTTTTGAGACGGAGTCTAGCTCTGTCGCCCAGGCTGGAGTGCAGTGGCCGTATCTCAGCTCACTGCAACTCCGCCTCCCAGGTTCAAGTGATTCTCCTGCCTCAGCCTCCCGAGTAGCTGGGACTACAGGCGCCTGCCACCTCGCCCGGCTAGTTTTTTGTATTTTTTAGTAGAGACGGGGTTTCACCGTGTTAACCAGGATGGTCTCGATCTTCTGACCTTGTGATCCGCCCCCGGCCTCCCAAAGTGCTGGGATTACAGGCTTGAGCCACCGCGCCCGGCCTTTTTTTTTTTTTTTTTTTTGAGATGGAGTTTTGCTCTTGTTGCCCAAGCTGAAGTACGATAGCACGATCTTGGCTCACAGTAACCTCCGCCTCCTGGGTTCAAGCGATTCTCCTGCCTCAGCCTCCCGAGTAGCTGGGATTATAGGAACACGCCACCACATCTGGCTAATTTTGTATTTTTAGTAGAGATGGGGTTTCTCCATGTTGGTCAGGGTGGTCTCGAACTCTCGACCTCAGGTGATCCACCTGCCTCGGCCTCCCAAAGCACTGGGATTACAGGCATGAGCCACCGCACCCAGCAGAATTTTCCTATTTTCAAAGCAAAAATATAGCAAAGAATTGTGGCTAGTGGCCGGGTGCGGTGGCTCACGCCTATAATCCCAGCACTTCGGGAGGTTGAGGTAGGCAGCATAAGGTCAGGAGTTTGAGACCAGCCTGGCCAATACGGTGAAACCCCGTTGCCACTAAAAATACAAAAATTAGCCAGGCGTGGTGGTGGGCACCTGTAGTCCCAGCTACTCAGGAGGCTAAGGCAGGGAGAATTGCTTGAACCCGGGAGGCGGAGGTCGCCGTGAGCTGAGATTACGCCACTACACTCCAGCCTGGGTAACAGAGCGAGACTGTCTCAAAAAAAAAAAAAAAGAAATGTGGCTAATATTTAATTGGCCCACACTATGCGTTTGGTACTTTACATGAAGCATCTTGGTTAATCATCACAACTCCATGATGAAAAGAGAGATGAAGTGACTACCTTAAGGCCACACAGTAAGTGGTGAAGGAGGATTCCGATCCAGTATTTCAGAGCCCAGGCTCTTAATCATTTCACCATATTCCTTCTTTAGTGGATATTTCTTACCTCAGCTGCAGTAAATTTTTCCCTTGGCCCAGCTGTAATCCACAGTTTCACTCCATTTAACTTCTCAGATGTGATTTCATCTTTTAAGCTAGAAATACAATTTTAAAAGCAAATATTAGGTCCATAATTTAAATCAATTTATGTATTGTTTTAGTCTCTCAACTATTTGGAAGCAGAGGCCACAGAGGCTCAGAGATGAAGGGACTTAGACGTAACTGGTCCAGTCTCTCTCCCAAAGTCAGAATTCCCTCTAAGGCCTGCCCCAGAGTCATCTGTCCTCTGTCCAAATACTTCCAGTAAGTCAAGGTGTTCAAATCAAGCCATGCTAAAGCATAAGGAAGTCCTCCACTACTAATTCAATCAGCCCTACCATTAGCTCGTATGATTACATATCCTCACCTATTAAGAACATACACATACACATCCACAAAGTCAAAGCTATTCTCATTTAATTCTCATGTTTCCTTTCCCTAGTATTGACCTCAGTCAAAATACGAAGAAAGCCTCTAAATCTTAAAAAGTTACATGTGTATAATTAGAATAATTTTTTGGTGTGTGATTTGGAAGACAACTTAATAATATGCTGCTTTAATAATATCCTAATTGCTGATTTCAGAAGAAATGTTTTTTGGTTTTTGTTCTTGACAGAGTCTCCCTCTGTTGCCCAGGCTGGAGTGCAGTGGCATGATCTCGGCTCACTGCAGGCTTCACTGCCTGGGTTCAAGGGATTCTTGTCCCTCAACCTCCTTAGTAGCTGGGATTATAGGCACGCACCATCAACTCAAGTGATCTGCCTGCTTCAGCCTCCCAAAGTGCTGGGATTACAGGCATGAGCCACTGCGTCCTGTCCAAGAGATCTTTCAATAAGAATTTATTTAATTATGAATAATTTTTTTATTTTTTGAGACAGTCTTGCTCTGTCACCAAGCTGGAGTGCAGTGGCGTGATCTCAGCTTACTATAACCTCCGCCTTCTGGGTTTAAGTGATTCTCCTGCCTCAGCCTCCCGAGTAGCTGGGACTATACGCAGACACCATCATACCCAGCTAATTTTTGTAATTTTAGTAGAGACGGGGTTTCACCATGTTGGCCAGGATGGTTTTGATTTTTCTTTTTTTTTTTTGAGACAGAGTCTCACTCTGTTGCCCAGGCTGGAGCGCAGTGGCGCAATCTCGGCTCACTGCAACCTCCACCTCCCAGGTTCAAGCAATTCTCTGCTTCAGCCTCCCAAGGAGCTGGGATTACAGGAACTTGCCACCATGCCTGGCTAATTTTTAAAAAATTTTTAGTAGAGATGGGGTTTCGCCATCTTGTCCAGGCTTGTCTTGAACCCCTGACCTCGTGATCCACCCACCTTGGCATCCCAAAGTGCTGGGATTACAGGTGTCAGCCACCGTGATGGCCAGTCTTGATCTCTGACCTTGTGATCCGCCTGCCTCAGCCTCCCAAAGTGCTGGGATTACAGGCGTGAGCCACCGCGCCAGACCTAATTCTGAATGATCTTTAAATTGAGCTTCTCCCACCTAAACAATCTATGTTACATAAGAAAATAAAGACTTCTCAGCTTTATCAGCAGGACAATATCATTTAGAAGGGAAAACAATATACATGGTCGGTCACCTCTGAATCTTCCAATTACTCCGAAGTTTTTTCTGCATGGATTTATAGCCGTTGTTGGTGGTAAATATCTCCTTTTTGTAGGCATTGAAAACAATGGTGCTCCGCAGCTCTTTCTCCATGGCTTACGGAAGAAAGAAGGGATCAGAAAATCAATAAACAATATTCCAAAGACCCTAAAAGCAATAAATAGTTGCCTTCTACTACTATTTATCAAGAAAGGGCATACAACTGAAACCTATCTAGGAAATTCCTACAATTCTCAAAGGTCAAGAATGAAATGCAAAAGCATAGCACAGAAACCTAATACCAAAACAAACCCAGCCCTCCCCTACCCATTTTTGCTTTCCACCTCTTGCCCAGACCCTCCCAACAGCCTATACCTATGGCCCTGCCCCGCCATCACCCTGCTCTTGCGTCCCAAGACCATGTTTCCAACCTGATTCATCACTGCTAACTACTGTTAAGCGCAGGGTATAGTCTTCTAGATTCTTTTTTTCTTTTCTTTTCTTTTTTTTGAGATGGAGTCTTGCTCTACCTTCCATGCTGGAGTGCAACAGCATGATCTCGGCTCACTGCAACCTCCATCTCCTGGGTTCAAGCGATTCTCCTGCCTCAGCCTCCTGAGTTGCTGGAATTACAGGCAAGTGCCACCATTCCTGGCTAATTTTTGTATTTTTAGTAGAGACACGGTTTCACCATGTTGGTCAGGCTGGTATCGAACTCCTGACCTCGTGATCCGCCTGCCTTGGCCTCCCAAAGTGCTGGGATTACAGGAGTGAGCCACTGCACCCAGTTCTACATTCTTTTTATACATATATTAACTTACAGTTTTATTTTATGAAATAGGATCTTACCACACGCATTACTCTGAAACACTTGGTTCACCTAACCTTGTATATTTGACATCTTTCTTTGTCAGTACACATGGATCTACCATATTCTTTTAAACAGCTACACAGGGCTGGGTGCAGTGGCTTATGCCTGTAATTCCAGCACTTTGGGAGGCTGAGGTAGGAGGATCGCTTGAGTTCAGCAGTTCCAGACCAGCCTGGACCACATCTCTACAAAAATCAGCAGGGCATGCTGGCACATATCTTAGTCCCAGCTATTCAGGAGGCTGAGGTGAGAGGATTGCTTGAGCCCAGGAGGTTGAGGCTGCAGTGAGCCACAATCACCTCACTCTGCACTCCAGCCTGGAGAACAGAGCGAGACCCTGTCTTTAAACAACAACAACAAAAACAGCTGCACAGTATTCATTTTATGGATCTACCATAATTTATTTAACCAGTCATATACTGATTGACATCTTTTATCAAATATTTTCTAAAACAATACTAAAAACATCAATGTTAAACAACATGTTTTTCTGCACTTCGCCTATTTGTAGTTTCTTACCTATTGAATGGCTGAGTAAATCATTTCCAAATTGCCCTCCAAAAAATTATGATTTTATACTTCCACTAACACGCTTCTGCTTCCACACAATCCTATTTTCAGTCTTTGTCGTCTTTGCCAAAAAAAAAAAAAAAAAAAAAAAGCCCTCATTACTGTTTTAATTTCCTCTTTGAAGTTAGTGAGATAGTGGTCCCTTGCTATAGATTTCTGCCACTTGTATTTCTTTTCTTCTGATATTCTTGTCCAGGTACTCCGATCATTTTTCTCTTGAAATTTTTCTTTTTAAAAACTTCTTATTATTGGAGATAAAAGTCCCACACTGTGACCCAGGCTGGGAATGTATCGTGTGCAATCACGATACACCGCAGCCTTGACCTCCCGGGCTCAAGCAATCATCCCACCTCAGCCTCCTGGGTAACTGGGACTACAGGTGCGCACCACTGCCCAGCTAATTTTTGAATTTTTTGCACAAGCAAGGTCTCGCTATGTTGCCCTTAAACTTCTGGCCTCAAGTGATCCTCCTACCTCAACCTCCCAAAGTGCTGGTTTACAGGCATGAGCCACTGCACCCGGTCAGGTTTCATAATTTTCTAATTGATCATTAAACAAATATTTTCTTAAATTTATTTGGCTTCTGATACTTTTTTTGGTTTGGTTGAATTTTGCAGGCCATACAGATTTTAAATTTTATAGAGTTAAAAGTATTAATATTTTCCTTTCTGGCTTCTGGATGACATGAAACATTTAGAAGAGTTTTTGTCATTCTAAGATTATAAATAAATTGAACAATGCTTTCTTTCAGTACTTTGCAATGTAATTTTTTTTTCCTTTTTCCTTTTTTTTTTTTTTGAGACAGAGTGTGCTCTGTCGCCCAAGCTGGAGTGTAGTGGCACAATCTCGGCTCACCACAACCTCCGCCTCCCAGGTTCAAGAGATTCTCGTGCCTCAGCCTCCCAAGTGGCTGGGACTACAGGCGCCCAACACACCCGGCTAATTCGTGATGTAATATTTTAACATTTAAATTTTAGTCCATTTGGAAATTATTGTGGTGCTCAAAACGGGCTTCATTCCGTTTTTTTTTTCCTTCTTTTTCGAGGCATAGTCTCGCTCTGTTACCCAGGCTGGAGTGCAGTGGCGCAATCTCAGCTGGCTGCAACCTCTGCCTCCCGGGTTCAAGTGATTCTCCCGCCTCAGCCTCCCCAGTAGCTGGGATCACAGGCGCGCGCGATAGTAGAGACGGTCTTTCACCAGGTTGGCCAGGAGTCTGGAACTCCTGACCTCAAGTGATCCACTCGCTTTGGCCTCCCAAAGTGCTGGGATTACAGGTGTGAGACACCTCGCTCGACTGGTTCAATTTTCTAAATTACTAAAAAAGCTGCCTGACCCCAATTCACCTTTCTAATGCTGATTTGAAATTCAGTACCACCTTCCCTATATAATAAATCCCTATATATAACTGGCTCTTATTCTGAGTTCTAATATATTCTATCTGCCTGTAAGCTCCTGCTGAGTTCCAAACTTTCTTTTTTAAAAATTTATTTATTTTTTTTCAGAGATAGAGTTTCTCTTTGATGCCCATGCTGGTCTCTGACTCCTGGGCTCAAGGGATCCTCCCGCCTCAGTCTACCAAGTAGCCAGGACTATGGGCCCACACTGCTGCACCCATCTTCTAAGTAGTTTAATTGCTATACCTTTATGTTATAATATCTAGTGGCTCTGGAGAGCTAATTTTCCTTATTACCATTAATTTTAGAATTTTCCTGGCTACTTTCACATATTTCTTCTTCTTTAAGCACTTTAACATCATTTTGTCCAGTTGAAAAACTGCCCCCTCCATGATCCCACTAATGTGACACATCTATTTTTCTTGTTCGGTTAGTTCAGCCCCTGGTGAGAGTAGCAGGTCTGCGTTCCTGCACTGTCAGACTTAGCTAGAAATGCATTTCCTTAATAATACTATAAGGCCTTTAAAACTGTAAAAACAACGAATATTTGGGTAACGCTGCACAACCATTCTCTCGCTTTCTCTTCAATAACATTACCAGTCAAATCAGTATTTCCCACATGAATACCGAGGGATCGCAGCCACGACAGAAGAGACATTTTAAGACTTTACGATTCCTCTTCCGATGCTCTTTCATAGTCGGCGGAACGACTAAAAAAGGCGCATCACCCGAGGCCCTGCAGATGGGCGCCCAGCCAGAGCGCCAGGACCCCGGGCTACGTCCGCGCCCACAGTTTACTTCACCCCGGTGGACCCTGGATGTTCTATGACTGGCCCAGCAGCCTCGAAGAGTGTGTCGAGGCCCTCGCCAGCTCCCAGGCCGCCCCACCGCCCCAGCCGGCCCACCACTGTTGGAGCCCTTTACCTGACGCCCAGCCACCACCGGTCACCTGACGCCGCCCAGCATCCCGCGGCCAGGTATCCAGGGCCGCTTAGTAACCGGGGAGGAGCGGCGTTGCGCCGGGAGGCGTGGCCCAGGACGGAGAGCTAGCTCCGGCCGACGTGATGACGACAGCACGGAAGGCGCCTCTGCGCCGCAGGCGCCAGGGGTGTTGGGTAGGGAGGCTGGCTGGTGTGGGACTGTACCATTTGGTGCACGAGGGGCAAAGCCAAAAACAAGGAGAATTAACTTTTCACGAAAAATAAACCCATTTAATTTTGTTATTTAATATTAATTACGACTAAAGACTAATAACAACGGTAGGACCCAAGTGCCCAAACTTCGCTCCACCCACAGGGAGGAGAATAGTGAAAGCTTCCAGCGAGGGGGTTGGAGAATGCACAGCCTCGATTCCCAAGGCGCAGGCGCAGAGCGGAGCCAGGCGAGGGCGGGGCCGGGCGGAGGGCTGGGCCGGACTATTAGGAACTACTTACCGGAAAAGATTGAGCTGTTTTAGTGTTGAGAATGATAACACCGGGTAATTCTGCTTTATGAACTCCGCATCTTCGCTCGCCGTGGTGCTAGGCATGAGCGCCGGCGGTGAGCCCGCAGCCCTTTGGGCGGGGAGTTAGAACTTGAACAGATTGTACAAAAATGTGAAAACTATGAACTGTATTAGGGAGTCTGACGACTAAGCTCGTCAAAAAGGCGCCCCTGTTGAGCAGAGTTTTGAAGAAAGAGTGGTATTTATTAAGGCAAAGGCTGGGGAAGGGCGTTCCGGGCAGAAAGAACTGCTTGTGCAAAGAGCATCACCAAAACAGGTTGCCCTGCCATCGCCATTAAAGTGGGAAACCAGAAGCCTGCAACTACCAGCAGGCCACCCGACTACCCAGGAAAGCGCTCTGTGCCTGCCTTTAGAGGTGTGTGGATTTGTGAACAACGCTGCAGCAGCCTGGAAGACCCAAACTGAAGATTGCAGAGAGCTCTGACAGTTTTTATTTACATTTATGTTTGTCTTCGAGTTTAGGATATTAAAACACACAACTCTTGTTGCTTTTCACAGTTTCTGTCACTGGAAATTTTAAAAGTGGAGACGGGCCGGACGCAGCGGCTCTCTCCTGTAATCCCAGCACTTTGGGAGGCCGAGGCAGGTGGATCTCTTGATCCCAGGAGTTCCAGACCAGCCTGGGCAACATGGCGAAACCCGGTATCTACTAAAAATACGAAAAATTAGCTGGGCGTGGTGGCGCGCGCCTGTAGTCCCAGCTGAGTGGGAGACTGAGGTGGGAGGATTGATTGATCCTAGGAGGCTGAGGCTGCAGTGAGCCGGCATGGTGCCACCGCACTCTAGCCTAGGCAACACAGTGAATCCTTGTCTCAAAAAAAGAAAAAAAAAAGTGGAGAAGGGGTGATATGTGAATTCTCTGTGTCAGATGAAGTGGCTCATGCCTGTAATCCTAGCACTTTGGGAGGCTAAATTGGGAGGACTGCTTGAGGCCAGGAGTTTGAGACCTGGGTAACAGTAACACCTTTTCTCTCCAATAATAATAGTAATAAGGAAGGAGACCACTACTGCTGCTGCCTTCCTCCCCTCACCTTGCCTAGTTCACAAGACAGGAGGAAAGAGAGGAAGAAACAAAAGTAAGATAAATAGCCAGACAACCTTGGCACTACCATCTGGCCCTAGGAGTTAAACAAAGTAATAATAACATCAACCCCTGACCTAAACTACTTATCTGTAAATTTCAGACACTGTAGGAAAAAAGCATTGTAAAACTTTCTGTTCTGTTAGCTGATGCATGTAGCCCCCCAGTCACATTTCCCATGCTTGCTTGATTTATCACGACCCTTTTCACGTGGACCCCTTAAAGTTGTAAGCCTTTAAAAAGGCCAGGTATTTCTTTCTCGGAGAGCTCGGCTCTTAAGACGCGAGTCTGCCGACGCTCCCGGCCAAATAAAAAACCTCTTCCTTCTTTATTTATTTATTTTTTAAATTTTTATTTATTTATTTTTTTAAGATGGAGTCTCGCTCTGTCGCCCAGGCTGGAGTGCAGTGGCGCGATCTCCACTCACTGCAAGCTCCGCCTCCCGGGTTCACACCATTCTCCTACCTCAGCCTCCCGTGTAGCTGGGACTACAGGCGCCCGCCACCGCGCCCGGCTGATTTTTGTATTTTTAGTAGAGACGGGGTTTCACTGTGTTAGCCAGGATGGTCTCCATCTCCTGACCTCGTGATCCGCCCGTCTCGGCCTCCCAAAGTGCTGGGATTACAGGCGTGAGCCACCGCGCCCCGCGGTCTTCCTTCTTTAATCCGGTGTCTGAGGAGTTTTGTCTGTGGCTCATCCTGCTACAGTAATAATAAATAAAAAAAGAAAATTAGCCAGGCATGGTGGCAACCACATGTAGTCTTAACTACTTGGGAGGCTGAGGTGGGAAGATCGCTGGAGCCCAGGAGTTCAGGCTGCAGTGAGCCATGATCGCTGCACTGCACCCCAGCCTAGGCAGCAGAGTGAGACGCTGTCTCTTTAGAAAAAAAAAAAAAAAGAGAGAGTTCTGTTCTTGGGGATGCTGTATTTTGGTGCAAAATTGGGTGAATACAGTTTGCAGTTAGGGTAATAATGGAAATGAAGTATTCTCACTGAAAAGAGAGTAGGCCATCCCATTTGAAGGCTGGGACAAATCTTGGGATCTTTCTGCCTGATATGCAGTCTGTGTTTGCTACAGCACCTGCCCAGAGCATTTCTCCCACTGTTAGAGATTGTAGAAAGACTAAGAGTTTTGGCCAGGCGCAGTGGTTCACACCTGTAATCCCAGCATTTTGGGAGGCCAAGGCGGGTGGATCACTTGAGGTCAAGAGTTCGAGACCAGCCTGGCCAACATGGTGAAACCCCATCTCTACAAAAAAAAAAAAAAAAAAAAAATTAGCCGGGTGTGGTGGTGGGCGCCTGTAATCCCAGCTTCCCAGCTGCTTGGGAGACTGAGGCAGGAGAATCACTTGAACCCAGGAGGCAGAGGTTGCAGTGAGCTGAGATCGCACCATTGCACTCTAGCCTGGGCAACAAGAGTGTAACTCCGTCCCTGCTCCCCCGCCAAAAAAAAAGGCAAGAGTAAGACTTTTAGAATCAGTAGTGACTGTCACCAAGTTCAGTTCCTTGCTGTGACTTGTACTAGCTGGGTGACCTTGGGCAGTTTTCATACTTTCTGAGCAAATGTATCCTATCTGTGAAGTCAATATATTTTTTTGTTGTTGTTGTTGCCGAGACAGTCTTGCTCTGCTGCCCAGGCCGGAGTGCAATGGCATGATCTCAGCTCACTGCAACCTCCGCTTCCTGGGTTCAAGCATTTCTCCTGCCTTAGTGTCCCAGTAGCTGGGATTACAGGTGCCCGCCACCATGCCTGGCTGATTTTTGTATTCTTAGTAGAGACAGGGTTTCACCATTTTGGCTAGGCTGGTCTTGAACTCTTGACCTCGTGAATCGCCCACCTTGGCCTCCCAGAGTGCTGGGATTACAGGCGTGAGCCACCGCGCCTGGCCTGAAGTTACTAATTTCTAAATGCTGGCTTATAGTGAGGATCGTAGATAATGCATATACAACTTGGAATGTGCTCCATAAACATAGGTTGTAGCATGTTCCATTCAACAGTATAGTTTTTCTTCGTGTTTATTTTTTATCCTGATGAAAATAATTGTGCTTTTACAATCTCAGAACAGATAGAACCATTATGTGTTTCACCGTCCATAGCTGATTGCGTGCTTCTGACACTACTATTACATTTCTGATCATTATACTCTTGTCTTTTGCTTTGGGAAGTTAGGGGGATTTTGACCTCTCCCTCATCTTGTCCCACATCTGTCAATTAACCGGCACTATCAAGATGGAAATCAGTATGTTTCTTTCAGTGTTCTTAGCACATGTGAAAGCTTAACATGAGCTCTTCCTGACCCAGTTTTGATCTCTAATAGCTCAGTGTCATTGGTGTTTTTTCTGTGGTCTCCCAGACTTGTCCCCCATGATTCCTGGGTAGGGGGCTGGGTGGTCAAGACTTGAGGAAGAGAAAGAGTGGGATTGAATTAAGAGGAAAAGGCAGTAAAATCACCAGCACACACTGATCCAAGAAAGTTCCTTCCCTTGTCTCCTATCCAAAAAGCTAATAAGGCCACTCAGGAGTATGAACCACACATTTGTAAAAAACAAACATCTTTTCTTATTTATTTATTTATTTATTTATTTATTAATAAGACAGAGTCACACTCTGTCGCCCAGGTTGGAGTGCAGTGGCACGATCTCGGCTCACTGCAACCTCCGCCTCCCAGGTTCAAGTGATTCTTGTGTCTCCGCCTCCCGAGTAGCTGGGACTACCGGCATGTGCCACCACGCTCAGCTAATTTTTTGTATTTTTAGTAGAGACGGGGTTTCACCATATGGGCCAGGCTGGTCTACAAACTCCTGACCTTGGCCTCCCAAAGTGCTGGTATTATAGGCGTGAGCCACCGCGCCCAGCCAAAACGAACCACTTTTCCACTGAAGGAAGCACAGTCCATCCCACAAGTGTTCTGAATTTATGAGGTGTTACAGCTCACGTTCTGTCTGATCAGAATTACCTTTAGAAATGACTAATCTTGGCCGGACGCGGTGGCTCATGCCTATAATCCCAGCACTTTGGGAGGCCAAGGTGGGCGGATCATCTGAGGTCGGGAGTTCGAGACCAGCCTGACCAACATGGAGAACCCCTGTCTCTACTAAAAATACAAAATTAGCCAGGTGTGGTGGCGCATGCCTGTAAACCCAGCTACTCAGGAGGCTGAGGCAGGAGAATTGCTTGAACTTAGGAGGCGGAGGCTGCAGTGAGTCGAGATTGTGCCACTGCACTCCAGCCTGGGCAACAAGAGCGAAACTCGGTCTCAAAAAAGAAAAAAAGAAAAGAAAAGGAAATGACTAATATTGAACATATGGAGCTCCATGGTGGCGAGGAAGTTCTAGGCATCAGTTCTGCAGCAGCCTCCAGCTCTGACCAGCTCTGAGCTCCCCTATGTGCAGTGGAGCACGAACCTGGCACGAACCTGGCAGCCAGCCTCAGACCAGGAGCGGCATCCCGTTCAATGTCTCCTCTTCAAGACCCCATTTCTCACACGTGGCTTGTTCCAGCCAACTTTTGACTTAGCTCCTCACTAGAGATTTTGGCAGTCATTCTGCCTGGACCTAGTAGCCAGAGCGAGAAGCAGACCCACAAAAGTTCAATGTGAGAGCCCTGGAGCCAGCTTGTAGGGCTCCAAGTCCCAGCTCCGGCCTTTATTAGTTATGTGACCTTCAGGCAAGGAACAACTTATCTGACTCTGCATCTTCACTGGTAAAAAGGGGATAGTAATAATTCCTACCTCAGGGTTGTTTGGATGGAAAATTTGTAATAGACATGGAAGAGTCTAGCACAGCAACTAGCCCAGCATAGGCAGGCGATCTAAAGCTAACTTTGGCCAATTAAGCAAAAAAGGACTGTGTTAAAAAGGATCAGAAGTTCTCAGATCATTTGGAAAGCTAGATAAGACTTGAGGCTTGGGCAGGTGCAGTGGCTCATGCCTGTAATCCCAGCACTTTGGGAGGCTGAGGTGGGAGGATCACTTGAGGTCAGGAGTTCGAGAACAGCCTGGCCAAAATAGCGAAACCCTGTCTCTGCTAAGAATACAAACAATAATTAGCCGGGTGTGATGGCGTGTGCCTATAGTTCCACCTACTAGGGAGGCTGAGGCAGGAGAATCACTTGAACCCGGGAGGCGGAGGTTGCAGTGAGCTGAGATAGCACCACTATACTCCAGCCTGGGCAACAGAGCAAGACTGTCTGAAAAAAAAAAAGACTTGAGGCTTCCAGGAATGACATTGCAGGGCTGGTCTGATGGCGTTGTTGCCGTTGAGCACCAACTGCTACAGTTTGCATCCTTGCCACTTCTACACCAGGAACTCAATTTTGTGGATACTGCTGCCACAGTTACCACACAAAAGAGCACTCCTGATTCCTTTCCTGAGTCAAAGTGTGGCATGGGTGCATCCCTGGTCCCCATGCCTGGCCCTGGCTAAGGGGAGGCTGGGAAAGTCGGTGTCTAGCATTTTCAGCTAAAAATACAAAATTAGCCAGGCGTGGTGGTGCATGCCTGTAATCCCAGCTACTCAGGAGGCTGAGGCAGGAGAATTGCTGGAACCTAAGTGGAGGTAGTTATTGCCCCCCATTAAGTCTCATAAAACAGGGGATTCCCTGGAGACAAGAAGGGGTTCAGATACCAGGCACCCAGACCCAATAACAAATGTCCAATATTACCCGCAACAAAGACAGATATCATCAACATAGAACAATTAGAGATATTGATACCCGATAAGCTTGTTACATCTCTGTCATTTTACACATTGAGATCAAAATCCAAACACCAGGAGGCCCTCTGGTAAAGCGTGCTGGCTGCCTACCCAACATTCTCCCCTTCTCCCTTAGTGTCAGAACCCCTTTGTTATAAGGGATAGTCACGTACCCAGCAAATAAGCCACATCTCCCAGCCTCCATTCCAGGTAGGGGTGGGTGGTTAGTGAGATGGAAGCAGAGGGAAAGCTCTTTAAAAGCACCCTTTGCTCTTCTCCCCCTTTCCTCTGTTTTCCTTTCCCCAAACACAAAATTGGCAGCTAGAGCTCCAGTAACCATCTTGTAGCAAACCTAACATTGGAAGCCATTTGTCAAGGTTGGCAGGGCAGAAATACAGCCTCTGAGTAGCTGATGACCTGTCCTGCCAGCCCTGGACTCCGTAACATTATTTTTCTTTTATGTGGTGGAAAAAATTAACCTGCTTCTCATTTAAGCCACTGTTACTTTGAGTCGCTCTTCCTAGCAGCTGAAGGTAATTCCTTACTAATACCAGCCGGCCTCAGTAGTTTCACAGGTGCTTCTCTTCTAGCAATCCAGGATGTCATCATCCTCTGGCGCGTAAGAAAATCCCAGAAATGCACTGGAGGCCCCAGAGCTGCTGGCCACAGTGTCAGGGGTACAGCCAATGGACTTGGACACAGCTTCCTGGGTGAACTCTGGGTCAAAATGCTTCAAGTCAGCAGGTCCTGCCTGTCAATGAAAGCCAACGATGAGAAGAAAACACCGGGGTCAGAGCTGCCAAAGGAGCCCAAATCCTCAGGGATGTCAGGCCTCTGTGAGTGCCCCATGCTTCCTAGTCATCCATACTTGACTGTCACTTTCCTGTGCATTTACAGTGATCATTTTATCCTCTCACCTCCTGGTATTCTGCCTCTACACCAATCCTTAGACGAGTTAGTTAATCAATATATACTTACTGAATGCCTACCAGGTACTGTTCATGGCGCTGGGAACACAGGAGAACAAGGCAAAGTGAGCCCCTGTATTCATGGAGCTTACACTGTGTAGGGGGTAGGAGGATTGATAATAAGCATGTGTACAAATAGATAACTTAGGATGGTGACAGGTCCTGTGAAGAAGATAAAATAGGATAATATGGTGGAGACTGGGGCTGCTTTAGCTATTTTGGAGGAAGACCTGTGAGGGAGATTACAAAAATGATCACAAATTCTCCATTTCCCATCTAGAGGTGGAGTCTATTTCTCCATTCCTTTAATGTAAGTTAGCCATATGACTTGGTTAGGCCAATGGGACATTACCAAATATGACACAAGCAGAGGCTTGAAAAATGTACATCAGAAGTTGCTCTCTTGCTGTACTTCTAACCCTGAGGCCACCATGTGAACAGCCCCAGACTAGCCTGCTGGAGCATGAGAGGCTTCGTGAAGAACTCAGTTGCCCTGGCTGCCTGCCAACTCCCAGGCATGGGAGTGAGGCAATTCTAGATCAACAACTGCCAACTGTCCCGCTAGCTGACCACAGACGTGAGAGAGCTCCACAGAGACCAGCTGGCCTGGCTCAGACTGAAAAAAAAAAACCACATAGAATCCGAACAAAGTAATTTTTTTTTTAAGAGACAAGGTCTTTTTTGCCGTGTCACCCAGGATGGAGTGCACTGGCATGATCACAGCTCACTACAGCTTCAACATCCCACCTCAGCCTCCTGCTGGGACTACAGACATGCAGCACCACACCTGGCTAATTTTCTATTTTTCTATAAAGATGGGGTCTCGCCATGTTGCCCAGGCTGGTCTTGAACTCCTGGCCTCAAGCAATGGTAATGGCTCGGCCTCACAAAGTGCTGGGGTTACAGATATGAGCTACCATGCCTGGCCAAAAGATTGTTGTTTTAAACCACCTAGCTCTGGAGTTGCTTGTTACGCACCAAGAGCTAACCAATACAGTCTCTCCGAGGAGGAGGCCTCAGTTTTATAAAGTAAGCAGCCGAGGAAGGGGAAGGGCTTGCAAATCTTCTTTAGTGTGCAAGTTGGGCTATGGAGCCAAACAGATCAGTTTCCAGCTTCTCAATAAGGCTACAAGACAAGGTAGTCCCAGCCCAGCACTCAGAGTTCCAAGATCAGAATATGTATCCTGGCCCTTATTAGGTGTGTGACCCTAGAAGAAAATGATACTAAAGAAACTTACTGAAGACCTCACAAATGGTAGGTGGCAAAACCAGGAATCCAGCTTTGGAGTGTCTCATTCTAAAGTCCATGCATCTGTGCCTGGCATTCCATGTATGATTCTCTCTCCAGGGTATCAGTTTACATTGTCTTTACTGTCTTTTTAAAATTCCAAGGAAAAGAAGCTTTTCTGGTGCCTGGCCTGAGTGTATCCTATCTGATCCAGTGCCCAAAGACAAGTTCATGAATAGGTAATTCACGAAAGGAGAAATGTAAATGGTGAATTAACATTGGCAGTGTTTCGTATGCAGGCTGTTTCGATGGAAGGGGCTTGGCACCACGCTTTACAGGTAGACCACACAGCCTCAAATGCCCACCTCCAATAGGGCTCCTTTCATTCACACTGCTACTACCAATTAACATTGCAAAACCAGCACTTTGGGAGGCCAAGGCAGGAGGATCACTTGAGGTCAGGAGTTCGAGACCAGCCTGGCCAACATGGTAAAACTCTGTTTCTACTGAAAATACAACAACAAAAAAATTAGCCAAGCATGGTGCTAAACGCCTGTAGTCCCAGGTACTCAGAAGGCTGGGGCACGAGAATTGCTTGAACTTGCAGAGCTAGAGGTTGCAGTGAGCTGAGATCGTGCCACTGCACTTCAGCCTGGGCAACAGAGCAAGACTCCATCTCAAAAATATAAAAAATAAAAGCCAGGCACGGTGGCTCATGCCTGTAATCCCAGCACTTTGGGAGGCTATGGTGGTCAGATCACTTGAGGTCAGGAGTTCAAGACCAGCCTGGCCAATGTGGCAAAACACCATCTCTACTAAAAATACAAAAATTAGCCAGGTGTGGTGGCACATGCCTATAGTCCCAGTCACTCAGGAAGCTGAGGCAGGAGAACTGCTTGAACCAAGGAGACAGAGGTTGCCATAAACCGAGATTGCGCCACTGCACTCCAGCCTGGGCAACAGAGTGAGACTCCATCTCAATAAAATAAAATAAAAATGAAAATGAAAATAAAAACTGGCCAGGTGTGGTGGCTCACACCTGTTATTCCATCACTTTGGGAAGTTGAGGGGGTGGATCAGTTGAGCCCAGGAGTTCAAGATCAGCCTGGGCTACATAGAAAACCCTCATATGTACAAAAAATACAAATTAGCTAGGGGTAGTGGCACCCACCTCCCAACTACACGGGAGGTTGAGATAGGAGGATGGCTTGAGCCCAGGAGGTGGAGGTTGCAATAGGCAGAGATCATGCCACCGCACACCAGCCTGGGTGATAGAGTGAGACCCTATCTCAAAAAATAAATAAATTTAAAAAACTAACCATCTTTACTATAAGACAGAGAAATATAAATTAAAACAATTAAGAGATGCTGTTTTTTACTTACCAAATTTGCAAAATAAAAAACAATAACAACACATGCTTCAGAGTGCAAGTAAGATGAGAACTCTCCAGCAGGTGCCGCTGGTAGGCAGTAGATGGTTCTCCCACACAGTGAAAAGGCCTAAAAATGGCCGGGTGTGGTGGCTTACGCCTGTAATCCCGGCACTTTGGGAGGCCAATGCAGGTGGATCACTTGGGGCCAGAAGTTCGAGACCAGCCTGGCCGATATGGTGAAACCCCATTTCTACTAAAAATACAAAAATTAGCCAGGCGTGGTGGCACATGCCTATAATCACAGCTACTCGGGAGGCTGAGACATGAGAATTGCTTGAACCTGAGATCATGCCACTGCACTCCAACCTGGGCAACAGAGCAAGACTCTGTCTCAAGGAGAAAAAAAAAAAGAGAGAGAATCTGAAAATGTGAGCATTGGGAACCCCCATCTGGAATCCATCTTAAGGAAATAACCAGAATTCTGGACAAAGACATATACTTAAAGCTGTTCATCAGGACATCATTATAAAGAAAAAACATAGTAACAACCAGAAGATTGCCATTAGGAACATGGGTGAGTAAATTATGTTACCAACATAGGATTGAAATATTATGCAGCCACTAAAAATTGTACTTATAAATTTTTTATGACATGAGGAAATTATAACAACATAGTTTTTAGCCAAAAAAGGAGGAAGATATATAGATGAATAGATACACACACATACACATATAGATATTATAAAGTAGGACCTAATTAGGTTAGAAAAAAAAAAACCCAGGCTGGGCACGGTGGTTCACGCCTGTAGTCCCAGCACTTTGGGAGGCTGAGGTGGGCGGATCACGAGGTCAGGAGATCGAGACCATCCTGGCTAACACGGTGAAAACCCATCTCTACTAAAAATACAAAAACAAAATTAGCCGGACATGGTGACGGGTGCCTGTAGTCCCAGCTACTTGGGAGGCTGCGGCAGGAGAATGGCATGAACCCGGGAGGCGGAGCTTGCAGTGAGCCGAGGTGGCGCCACTGCACTCCAGCCTGGGCAACAGAGTGAGACTCCATCTCAAGAAAAAACAAAACAAAACAAAAAAACACATAGAAAAGTGACTGGAAGGAAATATGCCAGTGGTTTCCCTTAAGTAGTGAGATAATAAGCATTTCCCCACCGCTACTTTAAACTTTTCTGTTTTACATACATTCCTCTTTTTTTTTTGAGACAAAGTCTCCCTCTGTTGCCTAGGCTGGAGTGCAATGGCATGATCTTGGCTCACTGTGACCCCTGCCTCCCGGGTTCAAGCTATTCTCCCACCTCAGCCTCCCGAGTAGCTGGGATTACAGGTGTGCACCACCACTTCTGGCTAATTTTTGTATTTCTAGTAGAGATGGGGTTTCACCATGTTGGCTACACTGGTTAGTTCTTCCTTCCACACAGTGAAAAGGTGGTATGAATCAAGAACCTAAAAATGGCCGGGCTGACCTCAGTGACCTGCCCTTAAGTGATCTGCCCACCTCAACCTCCCGAAGTGCTGAGATTTACAGTGGTGAGCCACCGCGCCTCGCCAGTGTTTTACATACTTTTTGTAAGAATATATGTCATTTTTATTATCAGAGAAAAGTCTATAAATAGAAAAAGATAAAATATTTCTAAAGGGCTTGGCCCTATGTGGGTGTGCTACGTGACACACACAAACTGTAAAAGGCTCTGAAGTCAGAGGTATTTATTGGTGCTAAAGGTAAAGGAGCAGCAACATGGCTCTTTATCCAAGAGCTGCACCTGTGGTCAGGACCAGTTCTACCTCTAACTGACTGTGTAGCCTAGGACAAATGCCTGAGCTTCTTGGACCCCCAGTTTTTCCATCTGGATAAGGAGAGTTGGTACACATAGCAAGCTCCCCCAGCCCCGGAAATCCAGAATCTAGAATGCTGTGACCTCTTACCACATTTGGGTTGAAGGGTGGAGTTAGCCTCTTGTGGTACAGGTCATCCCAGTTTATAGGGCTGAAGAATACATGGTTCTTAATCTCCAGCTGCAGGAAGTGCAGAAAAAAGGTGCTAGTTAGAAGTAGCCCTCCCCATGGGCGTTCTCACCTCACTCCCACATCCTCCAGAGCTCCACCAGCAACTGGCTGTCAACTGGAAATTAACTTGCAGTTCTGGCCGGTTTCCTGGGACAAGAGAGTTTTGTAGCCAACCCTCTCCCATCATCCAGAATCCAAACCCTTCTCCCCACTACAGCATCTGTTTATTCCAAAACTATTTACTGAGCATCTTCTCTGGGCACCGACCCCTTGCTAGGCTTTGGGGGGTGTCAGTGAATAAGACAGCAGAATCTGCTCTAGGGGTGGGGAAGTGCCAGTGGGAGCTTGGGGACCCCTCCCCTCACTCTGCTTCAGTACATCTTGAGTTTTCCAGTATGCAAAGAAGAGAAATAGACTAAATCAACTCACTAGGGAAGGCTTGAAAAATAAAGCCCCCAAGAAGATCTTCGGATTCCCAGACAACCAGATTTTAGGACTCAGCCCTGGTCATGATTCACCACCTTTCCTAATCAAAATCAACATTGGCACCAACTTCTTTCCATCACATCCTCTATCTGTGTTTCTCAAATAATCATTCTCCACCTCCCTATATCAGGAACCCCAGTGGGCTGGTTAACAACTCAGATCCAAAATATCTCCATAAGAGGCTGGGTGCAGTGGCTCATGCCTGTAGTCCCAGCACTTTGGGAGGCCAAGGAGGGTGGATCACCTGAGGTCAGGAGTTCATGACCAACCTGGCCAACATGGTGAAACCCCGTCTCTACAAAAATAGAAAAATTAGCCAGGCGTAGTGGTGTGTGCCTATAATCCTAGCTACCTGGGAGGCTGAGGCAGGAGAATCGCTTGAACCCAGGAGGCAGAGGTTGCAGTAAGCCGAGATCATGCCACTGCACTCCAGACAGAGCAAGACTCTGTCTCAAAATAAAAATAAATAAAGCCTCCAAAAGAATACCCAAGAAATTGGTAACATTGGTTGCCTCTGAATTGAGGAACTAGGTGGCTGGAAGGACTTTTTCTGGATACTTTTTTGTACCCTTTGAATTTTGATCTATGTGAATGTATAACTTATTTTTTTTTTTTGAGACGGAGTCTCGCTCTATCGCCCAGGCTGGAGTGCCGTGGCCGGATCTCAGCTCACTGCAAGCTCCGCCTCCCGGGTTCACGCCATTCTCCTGCCTCAGCCTCCCGAGTAGCTGGGACTACAGGCGCCCGCCACCTCGCCCGGCTAGTTTTTTTGTATTTCTTTAGGAGAGACGGGGTTTCACCGTGTTAGCCAGGATGGTCTCGATCTCCTGACCTCGTGATCCGCCTGTCTCAGCCTCCCAAAGTGCTGGGATTACAGGCTTGAGCCACCGCGCCCGGCCTGTATAACTTATTTTAAGAGTCATACTTTTTTTTTTTAAGATGCAAATTTTTGCTTGGAACAGGAGACTTATCTTCATGGAAACCCCTGTTCTTTAAGCTGGCCAGGAGTAGGCAGCAGATGCCCTAAATGTTGTTATAATTTACAGTAACTGAAATGTAAAGCTTTTGGTACAAACACTTAAAAAGCACTTACTGTGCACCAGACACTGCTGAGAGCACTTTGCATACATTAATACTAATCAATTTGATCTTCAAAACAGCTATGTTAGGTGTTACAATGGGGAAACTGCGGCTCACAGAGAGAAATTAAGCAACACTTCCGAGGTCCTGTAACCAGTAAGTGGTGAAGGAGGGATCTGAACCCAAGTAGTCTGTCTCATAGTCCATTCTTTTTTTTTTTTTTTTTTTTTTTTGAGATAGAGTCTCACTCTGTTGCCGAGGCTGGAGTGCAGTGGCACCCATCTCAGCTCACTGCAACCTCCACCCACCCCCAGGTTCAAGCAATTCTCGTGTCTCAGCCTCCTGAGTAGCTGGGATTACAGGCGCCCACCACCACGCCCGGCTAATTTTTGTACTTTTGGTAGAGACCGGGTTTCACCATGTTGGCCAGGCTGGTCTCGAACTCCTGACCTCAGGTGATCCGCCCGTCTTGGCCTCCCAAAGTGGTGGGATTACAGGTGTGAGCCACTGCACCTGGCCTAGTCCATTCATCTTAACCACTGTGTTAGAAAAGAAAGCAAACTCCTGGTGAGAAAAGTATTGTGGCCTTCTTTTTGTAAATCCAAATTATCTTGTGTTGAATTTAAAAAGTAGGATTATTTTTAAAGTGCCACTTTAATGAATGAATATAATGAATTTGCTAAGAATGGACTATGAATCATTTATCCCTATATCCCATTTGCCCAGCCTGGGGTCTGGCAAGGAAGAAGTGCTCAGATATTTGTAAAAAGCAAGTGTTGGCTGGGTGCAGTGGCTCATGCCTGTAATCCCAGCACTTTGGGAGGCTGAGGCGGGCAGATCACTTGAGGTCAGGTGTTCGAGACCAGCCTAGCCAACATGGTGAAACCTCGTCTCTACTAAAAAAATTACAAAAATTAGCCAGGCATGGTGGCGGGTGCCTGTAGTCCCAGCTACTCAGTAGGCTGAGGCGTTAGAATTGCTTGAACCTGGGAGGTGGAAGTTGCAGTGAGTCGAGATCACGCCACTGCACTCCAGCCTGGGCGACAGAGCCAGACTCAGTCTCAAAAAAAAAAAAAAGGCCAGGCATGGTGGCTCACGCCTGTAATCCCAGCACTTTGGGAGGCCGAGGCGGGCAGATCATGAGGTCAAAAGATCGAGACCATCTGGCCAACATGGTAAAACCCCATCTCTACTAAAAATACAAAAATGAGCTGGGCGTGGTGGTATGTGCCTGTAGTCCCAGCTACTCTGGAGTCTGAGGCAGGTGAATCTCTTGAACTCGGGAGGTGGAGGTTGCAGTGAACTGAGATTGCACCACTGCACTCCAGCGTGGCAACAGAGCGAGACTCCGACTCAAGAAAAAAAAAGCAAATGCAGTCCACCCTCCACAAAGAAGCCAGAGGAATCTTCTATAAACTTAAATCAGGTCATGCCACACCTCTGCTCAAAACACCCTAAAACTTGCCACTCTCCTCCTTGTTCCCATAGCAGGACTTCTGCACATGCTGTGCCCTGTGTCTGGGGAGCCTTTGCCCAGCTGTCTTCATGGCTGCCTCTTTCTCATCCTTCAAGCCTCAGCTTAATTGTCACCCCCTCAGAGAGAACTCCCTGACAATGCCAGTATTAATTTGCTCCCCTCCCATTATTGTTTATCTCAGCTCATTGTTCATTTTCTTCCTGACATTTGTCATATCTTGTGATAATTGTATATAATGTTTGGGTTTTTTGCCTACCCCCAACCCCAGACTTTTTGTTTTTGTTTTTGAGATGGATTTCTGCTTGTTGCCCCGGCTGGAGTGCAATGGCATGATCTCAGTTCACTGCAACCTCCGCCTCCTACGTTCAAGTGATTCTCCTGCCTTAGCCTCCCAAGTAGCCAAGATTACAGGTGCCCACCACCACGCCCAGATAATTTTTGGTATGTTTAGTAGAGGTGGGGTTTATAACATGTTGGCCAGGCTGGTCTCAAACTTCTGACTTCAGGTGATTCACCTGCTCTGGTCTCCCAAAGTGCTGGGATTACAGGCATGAACGCTGCACCCGGCCCCCACCCCAAACTTAATAAGGGCAGAGACCCAGTCTATTGAATCCCTAACACCTAGCTCAATACCTGGCACATAGTTGGTGCTTAGTAAATATTGATTGACTAAGAGAACTAGACTAGAGAAAGCAGTCAGTTAGTAGCAGTAGTGAATTTCCAAATGAACAAGTGAGCAGTGCCTGGTTTTAGAGGGCAGCGGGATGCATGTTAATGTGCTTCTGAGCTGCCTCTGCAGGAAGCTGCGAGCCCCTTGGGGGCCAGTGCTCCACTGGCAGGTCACCTACAAAGTCTGCTTTGGAGCCCAGCCGCTGCCTCTGGTCCTTGTGGAGAAGGCTTTGCAGGAGGTCACAGGCGGCCACCGTCCGGCCCCCAGGGATCTGTAGCGGCTGGTGCAGAATGTTCTCATACATCTGGGACACGTCTTGGCTGTAGAAGGGCGGCTGGGGAGAGAGGGAGAGCAACTGGAGGATCACCCATGCAAAAGTGAACACAGGCTCCGGGAGACTTGGAGCAAGGTGGGCGCTGGGAGGACTCAGCATGACCCCCGTCTTGTGCAATGGCTCGCATGGCAGACTGGAAAGAGACAGGACTCCAGGTTTCCGGCACAATGGAGAGAGTTGCTAGGAAGGCCAGAAGCCTCTTCCCACCAGTGTGAGGCCCATCTCTTTTCATCTAGCTTGCTCACCAACTTTGCATTTGGCAACATTTGCACTTTCACCTTCATCATTTCACCCCAGTCTCATAACTATCCTCCAAGAGAGCTGTAATTTTTCAGATAAGAAAACAAGACTCAGAGCAATTATGCTGCAGTTAGGAAGAGAGCCAGGCCCCAAACCATATCCAGGGTCCCCTTCTCTTTCTTACTATTCTTCCTCCCAAGCCTCTTCCAGCTGTTCCTTCCCCTTAATCCACAGAGTCTGTTCCTTCCTAGGAACCAAGCTATGTTGGTGAAACCACCCCCAAAGCAAAGCATGACCTAGGGCAGATCTACACATGCCTCTACCTAAGCAGGCAGCCTAGGACTGGGGCCAGGGGTGGTTCCACAACCTATCAGGACTGTGATCTCTCTTGGTCTCCATTTCCCTATCAGCAAAATATGAATAATTCCATTTCCTTCTGTCAGTCTCCAAAGGCTATTTTGAGGCACCCAAGGTGAGACAGTGTGTTGTAAACAATAAAGTGCTAAACTAACTTTTTTTTTTTTTGAGACAGAGTCTCCCTCTGTCACCCAGACTGGATGTGCAGTGGTGCAATCTCGGTTCACTGCAGCCTCTGCCTCTCAAGTTCAAGTGATTCTTCTGCCTCAGCCTCCCGAGTAACTGGGATTATAGGTGCTCGCCACCATGCCCAGCTAATTTTTGTATTTTTAGTAGAGATGGGGTTTCAGCATGTTAACCAGGCTGGTCTTAAACTCCTGACCTCAGGTGATCCACCTGCCTCAGCCTCCCAAAGTGCTGGGATTATGGGTGTGAGCCACCACTCCTGGCCTAAACTAACATTATTGGGAAAAAAAAATAATTCGCATATCTGCTTTGGCGTTATCTTTTTTAGTCTGGAATGAAGAGATGGCTTGCTCATTTTCCTGGGCAGAGCTTGTGTAGACCACATGAGAGGTAGACCCATCGCTAGCCAGATGGCCCTTGTAGATGGCTACCCCCGACTTACCAGGCCGTGCAGCATCTCGTAGAGGACTGCCCCCAAGCACCACCAGTCTACCGCCCGATCATAAGGCTCTTTCCGAAGCACTTCAGGTGCCAAGTACTGTCAGAAGGAAACACACTTATCTGAATGAAATAAGTTGTTAAGCCTCAGTTGCCGCATCTGTAAATAAGGCACTTGGAGGAAGATGACCAAGAGCTGACCTTGCTGTGCGTGTGCTCTGTGGCTGTGCATGTGTTCATTCATCAGTCATTCACCAAAGGCCTGCTTTCTGCAGGGCCCTTTGCCACGGGTTGGGGACGTAGAAGAGGTCAGCCAGGGCTGCTTTGTGCAATTTACATGGTGTGTACCACACAAAAGCATCAGCCAAAAGGGTAAAGGGGGCTGCAGTCATGGCTGTGATCCACTCACCAAGCCACAACACTATTTCAGAGGTATTATCTGTCAACTTTATTTTTGTTTCAAGGGGTGCTTTTTCTAATTAGTCTGCCCAGAGGGGATGCCTTTTTCCATTTATGCAAAGGCATTCAGCGGGCTATGGTGTCCTGGGAATGGAAGGCCCTGGGAGTACGCTCACAGGGCAGTGTGGAGACGAATGTGAGTATTAGTAAAAGTAAATGTGGTATATCCTTGTGCTGGAAACCCTAGGGTCAGACGAGAGGGTCAGGAAGGAGGGGGTGATCCCTGAGCTATTGATAAATAAATGCACACCATGCCTGTATGCCTTGCCTGAGGAAGAGAACCTGGGAACAAAAAAAAGAGGCTTACTGATTTCTTAGCCTAGTGTCTCTGCCACTGAGTCAGGGGCAAGTTCTCAGCAACAGGAAAAGCTGCTCTGAGAGACTGTGTGGGTCTAGAAAGGGCAGAGTCACACAGACCTGAGCCCTGGTTGGTGTATGGTCTCAGCCAGGGCATTTAACCTCCCAGAACCTGGTTTTCTCATTGAAAAAATGAAGATGCCAAATCCCTCCTAGACGCTGTTCTAAGATGCTAACATATGTGCTGGCCCTCGAACAATGGGAGCAACCATGGCTACTCTTGCCTGTGCCCCCCAACACTGTGGAAGTGGCTGAGTCATGGTTAGGTGATGTGTTGGGGCCACATGTCTCCTACATGAGCTGGGGTTCCATATCCTTTGCTCCTGTCCCTAGCAACGTTCAAGGAAGGGATGGCTGGACTGCCAGGCTTTGGGGGGCTGGCTTTATCCAGCAAACACCACCCGCCATACACAAACACAGACAATGGCTCCTGCTCAGAGAGGTCATCTGACCATCAGCTACCCTAGAACCAAAGTGAGGAGGCCATTAGATCCAAGACCCAACTTTTCAAGCATATGGAGAAAAAGAGAGCAGCTGAGGTCTTGTCTCATGCCAGGTGGGGAGGAGCCTCCCAGTCTGTAGCCTCGGCCCTCCAACCCTCACCCTGACATCTGTCTAGCCACTGGGGACCCCTTCAGGCCCAAGGTCCAAGGTCTAATATTGGCGGGAGTTCAAAGAAAGGTTTTTTTGTTTGTTTGTTCGTTTTTGAGACAAAGTCTTGCTCTTGTCCCCCAGGCTGGAGTGCAACGGCGCGATCTCGGCTCACTGCAACCTCTGCCTCCCAGGTTCAAGCAACTCTCCTGCCTCAGCCTCCCAAATAGCTGGAATTACAGGCGCCCGTCACCACGCCTGGCTAATTTTGTGTTTTTAGTAGAGACAGTGTTTCGCCATGTTGGCCAGGCTGGTGTCGAACTCCTGACCTCAGGTCATCCGCCCACCTCAGCCTCCCAAAGTGCTGGGATTACAGGCGTGAGCCACCGCGCCTGGCCTGCGTTTCTATTTCTATTTCTACTGGATAGCACTGCAGTAGAGCTTCACCAGCGGCTAGCTGGCTGGGTCTCAGCAGTCCTAGAGCTGGTGCCTCCATTACACAGATGAGGAAACCAAGGTTCAGTGTACAGCCAACTCAGGAGAAGTGCTTGGGTCAAAGGAGTGAGCCCCCTTTGCTGTAACTTGTTGGCTGTAATCAGTAGCTGTGGCCTTACCCACTCATGACCTCCACTCTCCTGGGATGTTTACGCTTACCTCAGGGGTACCACAGAACGTGGATGTGGTCTCTTCAGGCTCTACACCTTCCTTGCAGAGGCCAAAATCCGTCAGCACCACGTGTCCCTGAGAATGAGGGAGGGCATGGGCCGGAGGGTGGTATGAGGGTGGCCAAGGGTATGGCCAGGCCTAACCCCAAAGTCCAGATGTCACACCCCAGGGCAGCAGCTGTGGGATCTGATGCCCAGGCACACACTGGAGGCTCCACACCAACCCAGGGGTCCTGGACTGGATGCCGGCAACATCACAGGGGGCCAGGTGGGCACGTGTTCCACTCTCTGCCCACAGCTCATCACCAACTCAGAGCCACCCCTACAACAGTGGCAGCTTCAGGATGCCCTTGTGGACAGAAACCCCCTAGACAGAGGCTGGGGACTCAGAAAGCAATCGCACTTTGTGGCAGCTGGGCAGGAAGGTAGAGTGAGTAGATACTGTGGGGTTCTGCCCGGATCCCTGAAACCAGCGTACAGAAGAACCATGCCTATCCCCATCCCCCTGCTGCTAGAACATTGCCCGCACCCAAAGTTATGCCCGCTCCTTAGGAGCAATCCGTGTCCAGGGGCACAAAGGCCCATCCTCTTTGCCTCACTTTGGGACAATCCTAGAGAGCCATCCTGGCTTAGGCCCTCCCCACCCCTGCAAGATCAGCTGAGGCTCCACTGGCAACCACAACGCAGGTGAGCTTCTTCATTTGCCCAATCCTGTTTCTTCACCCCTTTAAAAGTGTTATCTCTTGAGAATGTTCCCCAACAAAGCTTCTGCCTCCTCTCCATCTCAGAGTCTGTTTCCATGGAGCCCAGTCTAAGACAAACTCCACCAGCCCCTGCCTGGCTCCACCCCTGCCCCTTGTATACATGCATGCACATATATACATGTACAGTCTCATGTGCACATATGCATGTGTGTACCTGTGCATGGGCACACACACACGCTTATGCTCAAATGCCTCCTCTACCTATATGCATGCATGTACAATGCATGCACAATGCATGCACATCCATGCACACAGACTCATGGTCAGATAGTGTACCTGTGCAACCATGTCCACATGCACACGTGCACACACGCGCACACACACCAACGGTGGCAACACCACACACACCACCAACATTGCCAGTCCAGGACATCTGGTTTCAGGTCATGCAATAAGAAAGAGCCATATTGAGGTGCTCAGGAGAATACGTTTTAGTGGAGCGAGAGTTGAGACCTTGTGCAGGGGATGGTCCTGGCCAGGGCAAACTCAATCCAGAGACCAGAGGAAGACGCCCAACTGCAGCAACTGGACCAGGAGAACACAACACCCCCACAGGACAACTCACACAGGATCCATCAGGTTACATACATTTTTATTTTCCCCACACACAACCCTAGCATGGTTGAAGCAAGAAGACCTGTCCGTGCTCTGAGCCGACAGCGCAAGGCTCACCTGTAAATGAGTTGAGGAAGTGCCAGATAACGCCAATGGCCGCCTGGCCCACCTGCGGCAGCGTAGAACCCTGGCCCCGGCTCCGCAGGAACCGGCGCTACGCTGCAAGTGGACAGACAGCTGGACGGGGAGAGGAGTTGTGAGCAGGAGTTACTGGGGTCTACGGTGGGCTAGGGCGCCCCTGCTCCCTGGCCCTGTGCGCTGCCCCAGCTCACCTCCCTCTCTGACCTGCAGCATCTTCCCTACAAAGATTCATTGCCGACGCACTTCCCCACACAGCAGTCCTAGCGTTCCCAAAGAGTCCAGCAACCAGAAAGTGATTTAGCATTGCTAACACCTCCTGTTTCAAGGCTCCAAGCAGGCCTTTCCACATCCTTATTTAATCCTTCATGACAACCTTTCCAGGTACAAATGTCATGCTAGTCATGTAAGGAGGAAGCTAGAAGGGTCAGAGGGTGGTACTGCCCAAGGACAATGTAGCCCTTTAAAAAAAAAAAACCCAAGAGCTGGCATTTGAACCTGCGTGGTTCAAAGATACGCTTTTCCATCAATTCCAGGCCGATGAGATGATATGCTGTCAGACTGAAGCCCAGGTAGATCACCACATCGGGCCAATGTTTTTCGGACATTTTGCTAACAAAAAAAACAAAAACCTTCAACTTAGGCTGCAGACAAAAAACACACCCTCTTGCATCATAAAAACACTGAAAGGCATAAAACACACACAGGTTAAAATCTGGGTCATGAGTAGAGCCCCACTACATAAAACACAACAAAAAATTTGAGACGGGAGCAACAACAACACACCAAAAAACATGACAAGTGCGTAGAGGATCGCCCGAACAAGCCCACCTAAAAATACAACAGGTTTACACAACAACACACAAAAAACTCCCAGCCTCCTAGTAGACAGACAACGCCAATGCCACAAACCACCATTAATTAGTAAACGGGTTCAACCGTGTTAGCCAGATGAGTCTGATCTCCTGACCTCGTGATTCGCCCGCCTCGGCCTCCCAAAGTGCTGGGATTACAGGCGTGAGCCACTGCGCCCGGCCCATTTTGCCATCTTGACCAGAGAGACAGAGTGAAGCCCAGGAGGGAGCCCCGCTTGTCCCAGCTGTGCTTCTGGGTCACCAGGTGGCCTCAGGTCTCTGTTTACCAGAGTGACGAGTCAATCCCATCCTGTGGCCTATGGGACAAAATGGGAGCACTGGAAACCTTGACCACGAGTTCCTCTTAGCATTGACCTTTCCTGGGTCTATCAAAGTGTGTCCGTGGGCAACTCTGAATGAGGAAGGCAAGAAAGCATTATGGTGGGCAGTCTAACAGATGTGAATTCAAGTCCTGACTCTATCAGGTATGGGCTGGGTGGCCTTGAGCAAATGATTACCTCCCTGAACCTCAGTTTCTTCAGCTACAAAATGGGTCTATTGTAAGATGAGGTGAGATCATTCCAGAACTTGGCATGCAGTGGGCATGCGGGATAGACAGCTCCCAGCCGACAGCCCGCCCAGGGAAGCCTCCCTGTGGGCCCACCCACCTCTCCCCCGTTGACATAGTCGAGCACGAAGTAGAGCTTCTCAGGTGTCTGGAAGGAGTAGCGCAGGCCCACGAGGAAGGGGTGCCGCACATTCTTCAGAAGTACACTGCGCTCTGCCATGATGTGACTCTGCTGTGGAGTCACAAAGAGAGGGGTCCATGTCACAGCCCACAACCACCCCTTTTATCCTGGCACAGCCCATACAAGCTTGTGGGTGGGAGTCATCCTACTCAGGACTTTCTCATGCCTCTGCTCAAACACCCACAATGGCTCCCTATTGCCCTCAGAGCCAGGCCCAAGTCCCTTGCTTAGTATTCAGGGCTCAGGGTGGTCAGCCTCATCCTAAGCTAGTCCATGTGGGCACAGCTCTAGCCCCTGGATCAGAGCTTCTTGCCCCTGGAGTGAAAAGCAAAGCATGTGTGATGCCTCACATAAATGAGTTCCTAAGGGAAAGAAGCCACGCACTATCCACGGTCACACATTTGCTCGTGATATTTCCTCTTCTTGGATGTCGCACCCTCTTTTCAGACCATCAGAATCCCACCATCAAAGCCAGCTGCACCGCTGCCTTCCTCAGGAAAACCTCCCATTCCCACTCCCTACGGAGACCTTGTTAACATTAATCACTCTTTTCTCTGAGTCCCCTGATCTCCTATGCAATCCTCCCTCTGGGCCTGCTCTGGCCTACTAATGGAGTCAGGTGTTAAAGGAACTTAGGTTAGCTGAGGCATCAAGAAATCCATGATGGGGCTGAGTGTGGTAGCTCATGCCTGTAATCCCAGCACTTTGGGAGGCTGAGGCCAGTGGATCTCTTGAGGCCAGGAGCCTGACCAACTTGGCAAAACTCCATCTCTACTAAAAATACAAAAATTAGCCAGGAGTGGTGGCAGGTGCCTTTAATCTCAGCTACTCAGGAGGCTGAGGCACGAGATCACTTGAACCCAGGAGGTGGAGGTTGCAGTGAGCTGAGATCATGCCATTGCGCTCCAGCCTGGATGACAGAACAAGACTCTGTCTCAGCAACACAAAAAGAAGTCCATGATGTGCTGCGCATGTAGCTCATGCCTCTAATCCCAGCACTTTGGGAGGCTGAGGCGGGAGGATTGCTTGAGCCCAGGAGTTTGAGGCTGCAGTGAGCTGTGATTGCACTACTGCACTCCAGTCACATGGCCTGATGGCATGAAGGCCTTCAGAGAGAAGAAAGTGAGGCTCCACATTGTACAGATGGGGAGCCTGGCACTGGGAGCGGGCAGAAGACTTGACCGTCGTGGAGCCTGCGTTTCCCAGGGGAAGGCAAAGCCAGGCTGGTTTTCCTGAAAGCCTGTGGTGAGGTGGCTCGGCCTGCTTTCTTTGAGAAGGACCAGCATCCTGCATACCATCTGCCCTCTACCCTTTGTTGTGACCACCTCTGCACCCAGCCCCATGGACCTGTCAGAGGTGGAACCCATCTTTGAAAGCCACCCTAGGCTGGGGTTTGAGAAGCAGAAGAAGAAACGCCTGTGCCCGAGCCCTGGTACCTCTTTCTTCTTTAAGATGGACTTTTTCTGCAGCACCTTCACTGCATAGAACGTCCCATCAGACTTGCGCTTGGCCAGCAGGACCTGAGCAGAAACACGAATTTGAGGCCCTGTAGGTGACTTTGGACTTCCCAACAGCAGTACGAGGCCTCCCGCCTGCCACTGCTTTTGTCTGCAGGTACGAGAGCTCTCTCTTCACACATACAAGTGGCAGCAGGGGCTGAAAGAGGCTGCAGAAGGGAAGACCCAGGCTTCCCAGCCTCACCAAGTCACTCACCTTCCCATAGTTCCCTTTGCCGATGACTTTGAGGAAGTCGAAGTCCGTGGGCCGGGCACTGGGGGAAGACGGAAAACCATGCATCAGCATTTGCAGGTCTGGAAAGCTGGTGCCTGAGAACTAACCTGGGCTTCTTTTTAACTTTAGAGTGGGGAAATACAGAGAGCCTTCCAGCAGCCATGCCTCCTCACCCCCGAAGAATGCCATGTTCTCCCAGCCGAGAGAGGGCTTGTAAGATTCACCCTGGCCCCAGGGGAACTCAAATTCAAGTTAAACAATAGGCAGAGTGGAGATAAAACCAGACACACTGCACAGAAGGCCTGCATAGAAGGCAGGGTTCTGGTACCCAAAGCCCCTGAGTAGGGCCTGAAGTGTGGGGAGTTGCTAACAATGCAGACATTTCGGGGGCATTGCCGGAAGAGGGTTCAGCATGGGCAGAGGCTGCTGGGGAATTCGTGGGAGACAAAGCTGGGGAAAGGTCCTGGGCCCAGATGGCAGAGAGTATTGAATATTAGACCAGATAATTTGAATTTTATTCCCAAGGCAAGGGGAGCCAGGTATGAGGGGAGTCAAGTAGGAACGGTGCTTGAGGGACCAGAACTCACTTTGGGTTGGCTGAAGGCCCCAGGTTGATGTTCCCATTGGCCTTGGAGGGCTAAAGAAAGAAGTGATTAGGATCAGCAGATCCCTGCTCCCTGGCTACCTCCCTTTCTCCTAGCCCAGGCCCTGATCCCTTCTCCAACAACTCTACTAGGCCCGCCTGCCTTTTTCTTTTTTTTGCCTGCCCACCTGCCCGCCTCCTTGCCTCCCTCCCTCCTTCTACCCACCCACCAATCCACTTATCCACCGTCTTACCCACTTCTCAAAACAGCCTTGGGAGGCAGCTGGCTGTTGTGCTAACTGAGTAGGTGAGGAAACTGAGGCCCAGAGAGGAGTTGCCCAGGGTCTCACAGGCAACCAGGTTGGGATAGAAGCCAGGTGTCTTCATGACAAATCCCATGATTTTTCCAGTCCATCGTGAAGCCCTATTTCAAACCTCTCCTCTATTCACCTTGCAAGTGGTTCATTTCTATGTGCTCGCAGTGATCCTCTGAGCCCCTGACATTGTCTGGGACAGCCCATGGGGCTAGTGGGTGTCTCCACAGATTTCCTTAGCCTCAGGAGGAAGTGAGCGTCCTGATGATGAGTGGGGGACCAAGAACCACTCACCTGTGGACTGGTGGTCCCAGCTGGGTTAGAGTTCATTCTGTAGCAATGATCAGGCAGCTCTGGGGGGACAGGGAAGAGCAGGCATGAGAGAACTGGTGTTGTGGGGCCAGCTCCACCCATCCAGGGCTTCAGGCACCACTGCCCTCTCCATCCTCCCCTACCTGTGCACCTGCCTCCGCCTGAGGGTTTCCTACCCCAGAGGCAAGCAACCCCTGCATGGATGGAACAAACAATGATATTCCCCGGACCCAGACTTTCTAACAAACATCTCAGAAGGGATAAAGGGGGATAGTCAGAGTGTGGCCCCTCCCAGGCTGATTCTTTTCAAGAATTGGGGATACCCAGGGCAGCAAGAACCCTGTGAGCCAGGGTAGCCCCAGAAGTCCCAGATGGCCAGGGCTGGAAGGACCTTTTCAGGGCATAAAGTCTGAAGCCTTCCCCCATTTCACAGGTGGAAGGCCTGGGGCCTAAGAAAGGACCTTCCTAAGTCCACACAGCCTTGTGAAGGCACAGGCTGGGCCCTCCGGACTCCCACGGAGGAACAATGGTAACCCGGAATTACTGTGCGCATTCCCAGCTGGGCTCTGTGCTACGATCTCCTCACCACAGGGAATGCTGCCCAATGCCTCAGGAAAGGCAACTGCCGTGGAAGCCCTGGGCTGGGGCCGCAGAGACACCCAAGACTGGCCAGTATCTATTTGGGGTCAAACAACAGAAGGTGTGACCAGCTGATCTGTGTGGCCAGGAATAGTGTCTTCCTTGTTCCACCCTGCAGGGGAGAGGAGGCCAGGGTGCCCAGGCCCCGCCACAGATCGCTTGGGGTCCCACAGCCTCATCCTTGCTTGGCAAAGGCTGAGAGCAGAGAGCTCACCTGAGAGGCCAGCTGCTGTGCATCTCAAGACCTTAGTCTCGGCCCACTGTGGGGCCTGGGCTGCAGCTCAGCCTCTCTGAGTAGAGATTTCCTATCTTTACAAGGCAGGTCCTGGAGGCATCAACCTCATGGCCTTCTTGGGAACAGAGAAAGTGAAGGGGAATTGAGAGGATCCCCCATCAGCCCCTCTCAGGGCTGCCCTGAGAGGCCCAGCCCTGCCAAGCCCTAAGAGCAAGCCGCAGAACCGCTAAGGAAGTGCAGCCTGCCCCTAGCCAATGCCAGACGTGTGTGCTCCTGCAAACAGCCCACAACACTGCCACACCCTCTCTTGGGCTGACCCCAATGGCCCTTCTGCCAGGACCTGGCCTCCCTGGTCCCACATACCTGCGAGTCTGAGGAGAGGCCTCTAGGAGAACCAGCAGTTGGAACCGAAGACAGGCAGTGGACAAGAGAGCCTCTCTCTGTTCTCCCAACAAGGGCCTAAGTGTCTGTGCCCGGTGCCGGCCTGGCCCCAGCACAGAGCTCACAGCTCCCGGCAGCCGCGAGGGGGCTGGTTGATGTCACGAGGGATCCAGCAGAGCTTAAGATGGGACTGGAGACTTCTGTTCCCTGGGGGACACCATCTTACCCTGGTGGGGATGGTGGGAGGGGTGGGCAGTAGCCCCAGGGGAGCCCTGGAGACCCTTGGGGCTTGTTAGACTGTGTGGGTCCCGGTGTGTGCGGCATGGTATGTACTGTGTGAGTGTTCTGTGCATTCCGTGCTTCCATGTGTGTCTGTCTGTGGCTCTGTATTTCAGGTATTTGTGTCCGTTTGTATGAGTCTGCGCAGATGATTGCATGTATGTGTCAGTGTGACCACAGTTGTACAATTACATCAGCGTATGCGCATCTGTGACTGTGTGTATCACTGTACCTCTCAGTGTGTGTGGTGTGTATATGGATGTGTTTCAGCGTGTCTCTGTGTAGTACATGTCAGTGTGTATCTTTGTATGTGAATGTGCTGTGTCAGTGTGTGTATGTGGGTGAGTGTGAGTCTGTGTGGATGTCTGAAGGTGTGTGTTCAGAGCAGTCTGGGCATCTATTAATATGTGTGTATAGGTAAGTCATTGTGTGTCTGTGTTCATATTGGTGTATATCAGTAAATTTACTCTGGGGTGTGTGTGTGTGTGTGTGTATGCGCGTGCATGCGTGCGTGTAGGGAGCCTGTGTATATGAACCCTGTGAAGACGATCTGGAGCTGAAGAAGAGGTCCCACAGAGGTCAGCCATGGCAGCTGAGACCCCTTCGCCTCCCAAAAACCTGCAGATGTTTCAGAGGAAGGAACCTGGAGCCTGGGTGTCTAGCTCAGTCCAGGCTGCCTTGGTCTTTGCTGAGCACTTGGTCCTTTGGGCCTTTCCCTGTGGTCCCCTCAAGGGCTCTGGCCCAGTCCTCAGGGCAGGCCTGGTTGGCTCACAGCTGTCCTGCTGTGTAAGAAATAGTCCCAGAGAGCCCCCTGGCTCAGGAAGGCCTTGCTTCCTGGGGCAGTCATTAGGTACTCACAGGGTCCCTTCCTCTCCCCAGGACCCGAGGGGTGGGCAGGTGTTCTGGGGAATAAAGGAGTTGATGGGCCCACAGCCCCTGCCCTTCTTGAACTTTTTGTGTGGCTACAGTATACTACAGGGGAGGGACACATGGGGCTAGGACCCAGAAAGTTGGTCATGGACAGAACTGAGCCCAGTGGCCTCAGGGGTTCTCTGTGGGCTCTGAAATGCAGAGGATCTGGAAGTGTTGACCAGAGAAAACCTGAGTGCACAGTATCAAAGCCTTCCAACTTGAACAAAATAGAAATGTGGAACCAGTTCATGATGAGCAGGATGTCGTGTTGACAAAACACATACCCAGAACAAGGACATTTCTTTTTAAAAACAAGATCCTGATGTGGCCTTCATTCAGCAGCACTATTTATAACAGCAAAATAATTGTGCTAATAGTAACTTAAGTGTCCCACCACAGGGCACTTCAGAGCACTTGCTGGCTGCAAGGGCTCCCTCTCTTGACCATACAGCGTCCAGATACTGTCCCATTTCTTTGTACCCCTTTTCAGCTAAACTCCTCTGAAGGGTGGTCTGGACTCCTTGTCTCCACTCCTCTTCCTGTTCTCTTTTGAGCCCATTCCAAACAGGCTGTCATCCCAACACTTCAATGAAACCGTGGACCAGTGACCTCTATGTGCCAAAGCCAGTGATGAGTTCCTCATCCTCATCTTACTCAACTTCTCTGAAGAATTTGGTGTGCTCACGTTCCCCATTTGGCTTCCGGAACTCTTGGTTTTCCTTCTAGCTCACTGACTGCTCTTCCTCCATCTCTCGTGCTGGATTTTCCTCCTTTTTTTATCCTTAAACATAGGCCTATCCCATGGCTTAGTCTTTGGGCCTCTGTCTACACATACTTGTTCTTTAGTTGATCGCTACCATTTTAATGGTTTAACCAACTATACTTGTCAGTTCCCAAATCTCTCTCTCCGTTCTAATTCTCTTTCTTTTCTTTTCTTTTTTTTTTTTTGAGACAGAGTCTTGATCTGTCACCCAGGCTAGAGTGCAGTGGCAGTATCTCAACTCATTGCAAACTCTGCCTCCCAGGTTCAAGTGGTACTCCCACCTCAGCCTCCCAAGTATCTGGGACTACAGGCCCCACCACCATACCTGGCTAATTTTCGTATTTTTTTTAAGTAGAGATGGGGTTTCACCATGTTGGCCAGGCTGGTCTCGAACTCCTGACCTCAAGTGATGTGCCTGCCTCGGCCTCCCAAAGTGCTGGGATTACAGGTGTGAGCCACCACACCCAGCCTAGTTCTGATTCTTTCCTGAACTCTGTACTTAAATATTTAACTGCTTCCTTGACAATTCACTAGTTAGATGTCTAGAGGCATCTCAATCTTTTTTTTTTTTTTGTAAAGAAAGAGTCTCACTCTGTCACCCAGGCTGGAGTGCAATGGCACAATCTCGGCTCACTGCAGCCTATGCTTTCTGGTTCAAGCGATTCTCCTGCCTCAGCCTCCCCAGTAGCTGGGATTACAGTGCCTGCCACCGTGCCTGGCTAATTTTTGTATTTGTAGTAGAGACTGGGTTTCACCATGTTGGCCAGACTGGTCTTGAACTCCTGACCTCATGTGATCCACCCGCCCCTGCCTCCCAAAGTGCTGAGATTACAGGTGTGAGCCACCACGTCCAGCCAAAGCATCTCAATCTTTTTTTATTTTTTATTTTTTATTTTTTTTGAGACATGGTTTAGCTCTGCAGCCCAGGTTAGAGTGCAGTGGAGTGATCTAGGCTCTCTGCAATCTTTACCTCCCCAGCTCAAGCCATCCTCCCACCTCAGCCTCCCAGAGTAGCTGGGTACTACCAGCACCACCCACTCCAGGGCTTGGTTAATTTTTTGGTACTTTTGTAGGGAGACAGGGTTTCACCATGTTGCCCAGGGCTTTGTCTTGAACTCATGGAGCTTAAGACGATCCTCCTGCCCTGGCTCCCCAAGTGCTGGGATTACAGGGTATGAAGCCCGACCGGGTGCCGTGGGGGTGGTATCTCGAACCTGTAAACAATGTTCCGAAACAATGGTCTTGACTCATATTCCTTCCACTCTGCCCAGTCTGTTCCTCCTCAGTCTTCAGCACTCAATAATGCACTACCGCCCTACTCAAAAGTGTTCAGCCAGCAACTTTGAGTTCATTGCTGGGAAGCTGCACCACTCACCCACTTTCCACTCCCCCATGAAATTCCCGTTCCACAATATATCCAGGGAAACCGCCGGCTGCGGGTGGCTCAAGCCTGTGAATCCCAGCACTTGGAGCCGAGACGGGCGGGTCACAAGGTCAGGAGGATCAAAGGCCAGCCTGGTTAACATGCGTGAAACCCGTCGCTACTAAAAAATACAAAAAACTAGCCGGGCGAGGTGGCGGGCGCCTGTAGTCCCAGCTACTCGGGAGGCTGAGCCAGGGAGAATGGCGTAAACCCGGGAGGCGGAGCTTGCCTCCAGAAACCACTGCTGCTCACCATCATTGCTGAAACCGCCCTGCCTGAGCCCCCATCGTCACTTGCATGGATTATTGCAATAGCTTCTCCACTGACTCCCTGCTTCTCCGCTTACCCACTACAATCTTTCTCCATGAAAAGCCACAATGAGTCTTAAAATGTAAATCAGATCATGTGCCTTAGTTGCTCAAAAACTCCAGCGCTTTCTCATCACACCTAGAATAAAAATCCAAAGCCTCAGCTGGGCGTGGTGGCTCATGTCAAGAGATCAAGACCAGCCTGGCCAACATGGTGAAACCCCGTTTCTACTAAAAATACAAAAATTAGCTGGGCGTGGTGACACGTGCCTGTAGTCCCAGCTACTCAGGAGGCTGAGGCAGGAGAATCGCTTGAACCCAGAGGCAGAGGTTGCAGTGAGAGTGAGCTGAGATTGTGCCACTGCACTCCAGCCTGGTGACAGAGCAAGACTCTGTCTAAATAAATAAATAAATAAATAAATAAATAAAATCCAAAGCCTCTACCATGGTTTATGAGATCCATAGGACCTGGCTGCTGTCTCCATCTCCTCCTCGGCTTCCACTCCTCTGCTTCCTGACTGCCCTCAGCCTCTCTGCTTTCTCTTGCTGTCGCTGAAACACGCTACTCTCTGGCCTCCAGCCCCTTGCACGCAGCTTTCCCTCTGCCTACGACACTCTTCCCCCAGGCATCTGCTTGGCTATGTTCTACTAATGTCATAGAGGTTTCTGCTTAAAAGTCACCTCTTGGAGAGGCTTGTGCTGATTACGGGTGACAGGTCATCCTGGTTTGTCTGGGACTGACCTGGTTTGTCTGGGACTAAAACCGCTATAGTCCTGGGCCAACCAGGATGGTTAGTCACTCTGATACCAGTTCTGCTCATTCCCTATACACTTTGTCTACTTTATATTTTACTTTGTAGCACTGATACCTTATCCTGTAACTATTAGTTTTTATTTTCTATCTCCAACTAGAACATCAGCTCCAGGAGGGCAAATACTTCCTGTTCAACTATTATATCCTCAGCACTGAGCACAGGGCCTGGAATATAGTAGGTGCCCAGTACATATTTGGCTAATGAATCAATAAATGAATTGATAAATGTTGGTACATATATAAAGTGGAAAATTACACAACCAAAAACTATATAAAACCTATGTAAACCAAAACAGGAACATATACATGATACAGTATCAAGCAAAAAACCAAGTTTCAAAATAGCAGGTGTTGTAGGGGTGCCAATTTTATAAAAGAAAAACAAAAGACACCTATGCATGCACACATTTGTGAGTACAGCTGCCAAAAAAAGACTGGAAGGTCACGACCCAAGGTAACAGCGGGTTCTTAGGTTAGGTTATTTTAACTTTTTTTTTTTTTAAGATGGAGTCTCACTCTGTTGCCCAGGCTGGAGTGCAGTGGCGCAATCTCTGCTCACTGCAACTTCCGCCTCCTGGGTTCAAGCGATTCTCTGTCTCAGCCTCCCGAGTAACTGGGATTACAGGCATGTGCACGACACCCAACTAATTTTTCTATTTTTAGTTGAGAGGAGGTTTCACCATGTTGGTCAGGCTGGTCTCGAACTCCTGACCTCAGGTGATCCGCCCGCCTTGGCCTCCCAAAGTGTTAGGATTACAGGTGTGAGCCACCGCGCCTGGCTGGTTATTTTAACTTTTATCTTTGTACTATTGTGTAAAGCTTCTCAAGATATTGCTGTTGAGTTAATATTCAAGTACTAAGTTCTGGGTGGGAACCTGGCATGCCCATGGCCCATCACACCCTCCCCCATCACCTTGACTGTGACCCCTATGCTTAAGCAGCCCTCAGTTCCTAAGGCTTTCTTCTCTCTTGCACCACGGTGTTCTAATTTTCTGGCCAGAAGTTGGACATCAATATGTTCTCCTAACTCTTCAGACTCTGCGAACTCCCACTCAGGCCCCTCCATGAGTCCTCAAGCCTGTCCCTTTCCTAACTTGCCACAGCCCAGATTTGCCTCCTCTGTCCCATTGTTACATGGACATGCTTACAGCTCCCTGGTCCTGTCAAATGGGGTGTGGGGGTGTGACAGTGTCACACAGTTCTCTCTCCTTGGAACATTCCCCAACGAACCTGTCTTTCCAGCTCACCTTTTCATTTGTTCTCATTGCCTTTCCTGGAAGCCAGACAACCCGTCGACCCCATGCGCCCTCTCCTGCTGTTGTCCCTGTCTTCACTGTAACTTGTTCATTTACACACCTGCCCAGTTCAAGTGCCAACTTTATCTTATTTTGTTCCAACAACCCCATGGGTTAGGAACTATCATCGTCCCTGTTTTAAGGAGGAGAAAACTGAGGCAAGGAGAGGGAAGTGACATGATCAAGACAGTTAATAAATGACATAACCAGGATTTGAACCCAGGCCATCTGACTGCAGAGCCCATGACCTGGAATTTCAGGAAGACAATAGAAAGCTAGAAAAGGAAAAAATGAAGTTAGTGGGAAGGAAGTGAGGATGTAAGTTGGTTAGTTAAGGAGAAAGAAAATTAGACAGCTGAGAAAGCAGATAGTTTGGGGGGAAGGAAGGAAAGGAAGGAGGGAGAAGGGAAATAAGTTGGGAAGGAAGAAAGGAAGGAAAGACAGTCAACAAGTACTAGGAAAGATGTTAGTCAATTTGGAGACCAATAGGCCAGCAGGCAGGTATCCTGCTCACGGGTGAGCCTCTCACCTGAAAACTCCAGGTTCCAGCTCAGGTCCTGGGGAGCAGCCCCTTGCACGGCTCTGCCCTCTTCTCTCTCTTCATGGTCCTTCTGACTGGAGGCACAATCCTGACTTGTCGAGCAACCTTCCCAATCAGGAACGACCTGTCACCCACTCGCTCCTGGCTCCCAAACCGGCTCAAGTTCAACCTCCCAGCCCTGCCTGCTGGAAGCTGGCTTCAGGGCCTTCCAGTTACTAATTAACAACTGGACCTGAATTACCAAGCTGGCTGCACCCGCTGGCTCCTGGATGGGCACTGCCTGGGGGACTCTCTGAATTTTTAAAAGCACAACTTGTTATGTGACCATGGGCAACTGACTTCAGCTCCCGGAGCCTCATGTGAATTGCTGATGGATGGTGTGTCCTGCTGGAGGGAGGGTCTCTGAAGTCCCTTTCAACACTGGAACTGCCGCACTCTCTCAAGGTCCAGCTTAAATGCTGACTCCTACACAGCCTTCCCCGATTCCCTCCGCTGAGTCATCTTCCCTTTCGCTTGGAACCTAGTGAACCAGCAACTGAAAGGTTGGTCTCACACAACTCTCTCCTCCACCCCTTCCCTAATGGGGGCCACTAGCCTCTATGTTCAGTCCTTTCATAGAAACTTCCAGGGCTGGGCAGCTCATTTCCCCCTGAGCCAGCCTCTGGCAATTTCTTGTGTTAAGCCAAAGACTGCCACCCAGAGCTTACCCAACCTAGCACTGCCCTGGCACCATTTGGGGAGAATCACAGCTGAGTTGAAACCTATGCCCCACTCTGCCCTTCAGAGATTTGAGGCTCAGGAACCAGAGATTAGCTCACCCTGGAGAACAG